TGATGGCCGTAGGTAGTTGTAACTCGTAATAGTTTGATTGCCAGTGGAAACGCAGATGCGGAACATCCGTAGGTCCTCGACGGGGCCGGGTCGGGCCGGCGTGCTTCCAGCTAGGCACTCTATAGCCACAGCTCCGGGAGAGAAGAAGGCACGGGCCAGGAGATTCAACGAAGACGTAGGTATAGAAGGACATACAGACAGACAGACGAGAAGGTGGATAGGTGGAAAGGTGGGTGGATGGATGGCAAAGACAGATGCAAAGACATATGCAAAGATGAGGAGCGGCAGGAGGACGGTTACGGAAGTGCAACAGTTGAATGCGAGCATGTGGATAGGTACTTACGTCAGTCATGCTGGGCTGCTATGGTCCTGGCGAACATCCGAAATGCCAGGACTGGAAAGCCATACCCAGCCTACATATCCACCGGGCTTCGAACCAGTGGAATGCCTTCATAAACGTCCACCGCATGACCTCCTCCACTGGGCAAGTAGAGTAAGCTACCGGAATCGGAAAGGACGGATGGCTGGCTGGCTGGCTGGACGACTCCTAACGGACATTTGCTATACGGACACACCAAGGGAGTGTGGGTGGGCATCAAAACGGGGAACAAAACACACGCTATCCCGATACTTTATGTACGCCTACTACGAGTATATGTCCAAAGAAATAGCACCCTCCCCCCCATCCCCCCCTCCCCCCCCAGTCAACCCTCGACCGGCTCAAGCATTTTAGAGTTCGAGGTAATATCATGCGGTGTGGGGGTGGTGATATTGGGCACCCGCTCTGCTAGAACTTCTCCATGAAGTCTAGTGAATAGCGAGTGGTACGGGTGCAGGAATCGAAGTCACGCCGCACATACCAACCACAGGAAAGGAGGATGGCAGAGTCGGAAATGATGCGCAGGAAAAACCTCTGCTCCAGCTCCGAGTACTGGTATATAGAGTACATACTTGACACAAATCTAATCGGTATGAGGCAGCGATGATCAGTGATCCCAAGTTGATAGGTCTCACCCGAAGCCCCGGTTGATCCGGATACCCCGATGCCCACTCCATTGGCAACATAGGTATGTAGGTACCTACCACGCTGCAGCAGGAGCGCCGGAGAGAACGCGGATTCGAAGCCATCGAGGTCAAGGCTGTGTCTGGACATCACGGTGGTGGTCCAGGAAAGGCATTTCGCCCAGGCCCTGAGGCGTGACACAGAATCCCGCCCTGGCACACCAGAGCCACCGACTGACCCGAGGGGGTGCGCCGTGAATCCGGTCCGGTAGATAGCGTCTGACCGACCGCAAAACCACTGTGCATGGGTGAAAAGAACGGCGACCAGCAGCTGCTGCTACGTGGTATGTATTGTACATGGTAGAGTGGATGCGGGCGTATGAGTTGGGTTATCCACGGCGTTTGTACATATCCTGCTGTCACTGGTCTACAAGGGTCTTGCGCGCAAACCACTGCTGGTCAACTTCAGCTTAGCTGCCGACAGCAGCTGCAACGAACGACCCTCCCACAGCCACCGTGGGGTTTGGCCCGACGAATCAGAGCTCAGAAGTCAAAAAAACCCCCGATCGTTGAGTTGGTTCACCTCATCTTTGACATCGGTACTAGAGCACCGTTTTCCATTCGATCTATCGAGATATTTCTGGTTCAGGAATCTTGGTCCGGGAGATATGCAGTACATTATCCTTTGTATGTATCTGTCAAGCAAACCGAAGAGCCATGGGGGGATGGGGGAGTGTAATGTTCCTGGATGGATGCGCTGGTGATGACCGATGCGGCTATCACCCACAGCAGCTGCATCGGTTCTGAAAACCACGGGAGTTAGCCATGCCGAAATGAAGGATAGGGACGAGCGCATGGTGTTCGATGTGCGTATCATAACGGGACTATGGGTGGAGTAGTACGTCGTGCCATAGTCGTGTCCACATTCGGCCGTTTGTCCGCCGCCGTCGGTTGGTGAGAGAAGTTCGGAATCCCGTCCTCCAGGTCTCGTCCTCCAGGTCTCGTCCTCCAGGTCACCCTCCCATCCCCTCCCGCCAGGTTTGCGACGACTGGGCAGCCTGCTCCATCTGCACTGGCGCGGATGTGCGTGTCGGCTTAGGGCCTTCTGGGACGAACGTTGTACGAAGATCCATATCTCGCAAAGTCGCACCGCGGGGGGTGGCGCTGCGGGAACTACCGCTCGACAACAGCCGTGGTGAGAGGCCTCGAGGGGAAAGACTGGGGAAGAGTGCCGCCGACTGGGATTCCTTATCCACTGACTGCGGTGCGCAATAGTTGTGCTCCCGATTCCGAAAAGTCCAGGTTCACGTGACCAGGCGGCGCATTTTCGAATAGCCAAGTAACCAAGTAACCAAGTAACCAAGTAACCAAGCAACCAAGCAACTAGTAACCAAGCAACTAGTAACCAAGTAACCAAGTAACCAAGTACCAAGTATGCACCGCACCTCGATTTCCGCAGTAGATGGGAATGTGTATAAATTTTCGTGCAGATGGTGGCCATCATCAGGAGTACCAATTATCCAAGGTGGATAATGGTGCATTGCATGGCTGGCCGGATCAAGAGTCAAAGATGACCACTCCGTTCTCCTCGGCTGATATGCATGAGATCAAATGAGGGGGCGCTGGCCTGTAAGAGGGCAAGTCGAGCATTTGCCTGAGAAAAGGAATTACGACGAATAGCATCAATGGTGCGGTCACTAGAGTTCCGCCCAGACATCAGTCAGAACCGGGGTTGCCTTGCAGCCAGATGACGCCGTGAGAAGAGTAGCAGATGAAGAAGTCTTCGGTGCATCGTAGGGAACATATGTATGGAGTGGTGTGTGCGTGCCGTCCGTGATTGGGGAGGGGAAGGGGCGACGGAATTTGCCTGGATCCCAACTTCTCGGCTGCATTGCTATCTGGTATGTACATACCCAGGGCCAAGCTGGATGTGGGAAATGCAGAGTAAGTAGTTAGGGTACGCCTCTGGGGGGTGCATGGCGCACCGTTGCGGCTTCAGATATGATACCTACCCGCACCAGCTCGGCAGCAAGTATCATATGTAGGTATAAGTCGGTCCTGGAGATGTCAGAATCGCCAGAGGCCAGGGTCACATCGGTCCGACCGGACTAGAGCGTTTGACTCGGGTAGTTAATTAATCTCGTATGTACATATCTGATACCGGTACCACCGAGTCGATAGGGATGGGGTTGATTGTTCGTTCCGGACCGAGAGTCTCCTCGTGCACGTGGCTGTGCGCTACCGATCGGAAGCTAGAGGAAATTGAAATGGTTGCTTGCTGCAAGACGGCTGAGATCATCTCTGGCTGAACCTGTTTCTTTCTTCGGGTGACTGCTGGTCATCCGCCATGAATCGGACACACAGCGAATACGGTATCTCCGGTGCCGATGCCCATTCACTGCAGGCGATAGTTAACTACTTACCTAAGTAAGTACTTAAGTATGTAACTATAGGCATGCTGGCACACATGGCCAAGCGATGAGATGGAGACAGTAGCTGAACTCCGATAGGCTGGCCAATCCCAAAATCATCCGTAAATTGGGGCCAGAAACCAAATATCCGTTTTTGTATCCAAGAGCGTTGTGGTGAAAACCAAAATACCGACAGGGGTGTGCCACGTCCTTCGGGGCGCTGTTCCGTGCGCGCAGTGGATTATAAAAAGAAAATTGTACCAATTTTGCGTACATGGAGTAAATTGATATCGAAACAAATTAGAGGTATAAATTCCATGTCCACGAAAAAAATGGTCCTGTTGATGTCGCCGAAAACACCTGGCCTCAAGGGGATGTTAGTGTATGGACGTTGTGCGGTCGCACACTGGGGTCAGCGCGGGGGGCCTGTGCACAAGATAAAATATCTATTGCGACTTCAGGTCACCTCGCTACCGAGCTGCCGGGTACGGAGAAAGACAACCGTCGAGCAGTGAACACGCTGAGAATGCGTCAACCGCTTACGTGACGAATTGGGTGATGGTGGTTGGTGTGGCGGCGGCGGCGGTGGTGGTGGTAACTAGTGGTGGTTGTGGTTGTGGTGGGTGGGCGGGTGGTGTTGATGGTGATGGTGGTGGTGATGGTTGTGGTAGTGGTGGTAGTGGTGGTGGTGGTGGTCATGGTAGTGGTCATGGTAGTGGTGGTAGTAGTGGTTGCAGTGGTGGTGGTCATGGTATGTAGTGGTGGTAGTTAGTGGTGGTTGCAGTGGTGGTGGTGGGTGTCGGTGGGACACAAGCCCGTGAGCTAGGGTCCCAGGCAGCTGCCGTAGATCAGCTCAGCCATCCACAGTCCCGGCTGTTTTCCGTCCATTGTTTCCATTGCAGGAGCTGCCTCTTCGGCGGCATCTCGGAGATCGCGTCGACGGTCAACAGGAGCGCCGATGGTCGCTCGATATGTTTCGCGATGCTTCCTCTTGCTGCTCGCCCAATTCGACTCATCCCGAGACTCTGGCTCGTGGATCTCCAGACCACCCCGCCCAGGCAGCACAAATCTTCGGAACCGCCTGGTCGGTGAACTACCTGGGGACATTTCTCTCAATAAATTTCCGACGTTTCCACGCCCTAAGGCCAAAAGCGGGCAAGTCCTCAGGGTCAGCACCGTCACGCACAGACTTCTGTTTCGCAGAGTAAGGAGTGTCATCGGGGGTTCGGCGCCCATAAGGAACTCCCAAGCGGGACTCACCCATCCCACACCGTGGCCCCATTTTTTTCTTCCAGGTCCACGGTTTAACCGATTCTTTGTATTGGTTGGTAAAATGCGAACAGCGTGCTAGAACGTGGGTTATCGCGGCAACCCGGCCCACTTACCAGCGGTCGAATAGAAATACCTATGCTATAAAATAGAGAGCTGCAGTAGGCTGGACACGGGGAGCCCCGCCGAACACCGAATTCAATCGCTGTCGTGGTGCGTGCTGCCTGTGTGCTCGTGCTTGTGCCTGTGTCTTCCTGTCCCGCTCCCTTAATATTAGTGTGCTGCACTTCCTGTTGCCAACACAGTATCCGTCACACACATCCCGGAATCTTCTCTCCCGCCGCGAGCGACGACGCCATTCCTGAATACCGTCAAGCAGCACACCCCATCGAGCAGCTGGGAGTCATCGCAGAATGAGCAGCAGGTACTCGACTCTGCCCGGCCCGTAAGACATTGTGATTCTGACTGTGCACTCTCGGATGACAGCACTATCGATTTGGATGACACCAAATCGCTGGACAGTCTCTACACCGAGACCATCAACATCGGCGGCCGGGTGTACCAGCAACTAGCCCTGGATAGGGGATTGGGCTTCACGCCGATAGACGAGGTAACTGACCCTGATTGCCACCCATCGTTCGACGCTCTTGCATTGACGATGCTCTGTCTAGGACGAGCGCGAGAGGCTGGACCAGCAGCACATGATTCTCCAGAAAGCGTTCGACCAGAGGCTCATATTTCCGCCGATCGAGAACCCGCAGAACATCTTGGACTGTGGCTATGGGTCTGCTGCTTGGGTTTGCGAGGTTGCCGAGCGATACCCACAGTGCGAGGTATGTATTCCCGGACTTGCTGATCCACCGAAGAAGACCCCTTTCTGATCTCCTACAAAAGGTTATCGGCGTGGATATTTCTCCGCATATGAAGCCCGATGAGATCCCTCCGAATTTGTGGTTGCAGGTATGTATGCTCGACAACCGAGCGGATAAACAACTTTGAGCTGCATACTGACGGTTGTGCGCAAAGGTCGATGACTTGAACGAACCGTTCACATTCGCATCGAACCAATTCGATCTGGTCCACTCCCAGCTTGTCGTCACCGGCATTAAAAAAGACCGTTGGCGCTCTTACATCAGAGATTGTGTGCGGTATGATCCCTTTCTCTTTCAATCGTTGTCTCCAGAATTTGCCACTGGCGCTGTGGAACATGAAATCCGTAGCGCGTCCCAATACCGACGCCACCCCCATCGCCGAGTGATAGGACCGTGTCGGAGAGCCGGACGGATAGCCTTGTTCGATTGGCCGGTGTTGGGAGATGCGAGTCGCCTAGTGGACCGTTCACAATGAAACCCGTTGCCGAGTTTTCTGATGGATGCCTGGTATACTTTAGTGCTGACTCGTCTCTCTGGTAGTGTCACGAAACCGGGCGGCTGGCTTCAATTCGTCGAATGGTACACCAACGTCCAATCCGACAACGGAAGTATGGGCGACGACCATGCCCTCCGGCAACTCAGCGGCCTCTACTTGAGGGCGTTGGATGACACGAGAGATATCCGGGTCCCTATGAAGTTGGGGACCATGATGCGCGAGGCTGGATTGGTGGAGGTCGACAGTCAAATGATTCAGTTGCCGGCGAATGGCTGGCCTTCAAGTGAGTACAATCAGCCGCGCTCCCTTGCCTGGTTGGTTGAGAGCTGCTACTGACATCACCATCCGCCAACACTCGCTCGGTCCGTTCGATAGAAGAAAAGTGCTGATCCGTGAACGTTGCAGCCGAACGCGAACGTGAAATCGGAAATATGAACAATGTACTGTACAAGGAGGGACTCGGAGCCCAGTGCAACTACCTGCTCCACGAGTACCTGAACATGGATATGCCAGAAATCCATGTCCTCGTTGCGAAGGCGAGGCAAGATCTCGACAATCTGGCTTTGAAGCCTTATATTGGCTTGTGAGTCCCAATTCTATCAAACGACGAGCGGACAGTTGACTGACAAACTCCAAGATACGTCGCCATCGGCCGCAAACCGAATTCTTAACAAGTGCAAGTCCCGAACAGTTTCCGGACTTGCACTTGTTAAGAATAAACCGGATCGTGGAGATGGCAGATTCAGCAGACGATATTCATCCAAGTGGTTGAAACTTCGAGAATCGAGTCATGCGATCGGGATGTGACGAATCTTGCTTTTGCGCGCGTGTATTGTTTCATTTTTTCCTTGGAGCGACTGTGCGTGTTATTGTCTGTTTTATTGCGCTGTCTGATAACTGCAGCAGCTCCCCGGGAAATTCATAAAACTCTCGATAATTGCCCCCCTAGTGGCGTGAGTTGTGATCATCGGTGCAAATGTACTAGGCTCTTCTCCTCCGTATCGTTGCTGATCAGGTCCATAGTGTCATTTCTTTCTTTTCGTTTCCGTCTGAATGAATTGGTTCGCTGGACGTAAAACATCGGAGGGTCATGCCGAAACATTGTCTCCCATGAAAGAAAATTCGTCGCAGTAAAACGGAGTAGGAGGCGGCTAACGGAGCCCTTCGTTGCCAATATGGCCAGTCATCGTTGACATAGCTACGGCACTAGAAAGGGCGGCAACATAGACTATCACTCTGAGTTGGGTGGCACAAGACCCGGGGACGTCGGCGTCAACGGTCAATCCCGATGGCTAGCGTTTGGAGAGGTCCGGCTGACTGTGCTCAGAAACCAACAAGGATGCTGGCGTGGTGTGTTGTCGTTGGGCTGCGTGGACGCATCCCGTCCACTTGATGCCGACATGCTCTGCAACGGCGATTGGACGGCATCGAAAACTCTGCCTGCGAGAAACGACGATCAGAAGCGGCCACGGATGTGTACTGTACATAAGAGTCGCACTTACCGTTATGTGCATGATCGAGGAACGGTTGAGGGATCTCCGTTGTCTTTCGACGACGCAGATCTCATCTGCGTAAAGGCGGCTAGAGGGCTGGAGACGAGCGCAGCAGAACTGCCGTCAAAGCAAGCGATGTCCTTGACGCACTACTCGTTGCCCATTAGCCGAAAGACGGTCACGTGCAGAGGGAAACAAGCGGGAAACAAAAGCACGCACGGGCCTTCAGTCGCGGACCACACGGCAACCAACTGGGAAACACGCTTTAGGCGAACGGTGCGGGGGAGAGAGGGAAGGGGGGAGGGCGTGGGTGAGTCTGTGGGTGTTGAGGCTGGAGACCATAAGGGGGCATCTGGGTGGAAGGAAGGAAAGGGCAACCGCCGATTCTTAAGAGGATGAGCCAACTGCCATCGTGAACTGGACTGCAGCTTGGTCGGAGAATCTAGCGGGACTGGTACCCCTACAGAAACCCAAACAGGTTTGCTGGAACAGGGACGGAAGGACAGGACAGGCAGGCAGGCAGGCAGGACAACTCACGGCTTCTCGCTCTGCAGGTCGACTGCACCGCACCGCACCGCAGCACGTCCACGCCCAGCTTCCGAAGCCCCCTTATTTACTCTCTAAAGGAGGGTTTCCTATCGGCGGCGAGCGGCGGCGGCGGCGGACGCAAATGGCGCACAGTCGCTTCTTGTTGGTCTTGTCCACGGCAGGAGATGTGCATGTCGTCGGAAGGGGGCTCGTTTGGACATGAGGTGAGGGAGAGGAAAGGCTTGCCAGGCTAACTAGCGGACACCGGACAACGGCGGGTCAACAGCGCTCACGGTGTCTGTCCGGGGATGCGCAACATTAGCCCAACTGGCCTTGGCCATGGGTTCTTGGTTGCGATTATCGACTCTGGCACCTGCCTCGGCATCCAAAGAAGTTTTCCCGAACGTTGGTACACACATACGGCTCGATAATGTTGCAATTATTGGCTGTGAATGCGGCTCGCTCGAGTTGGTCCGGTTGCTATGGGTTTCCGGTCCAACATTGCTGTCCGTGGGGACAAATGTAGGGGCTTGCTTACTTGGTTACTCTGCTGTGCTTGGTATGTCCGGTGTGACCCCGAAGGTCAACGCCGACAGCTTAGAAATATAGAGACATGCTATGTGTGTGTGTATCTGCATACCCCCCCGTCGTACCAGACACATCGTCCCAGCACAGTGGCTTTCGGATCCGTCGGGATCGAATCAGATGCGCTCATCCGGTGTGTACATACACACGTTCTGCAGATACCCCTCAACCCAGGCGCCTCCACCACCGACACATGTATATTATGGTACATGTACGTACGCACATACGTGCGTCCACGGATCAAACCTCTGCAGCATTGGATTTTCGGGACGAGAACGCCCGACACCAGACAGCGGACAACGACAATCCACCACATCATCCCTTTCAGTTGTAGCCCCCGCCCCCAGCCCGACCAACTTCATTCGGATGACTGTTGTGGCTGCCCAGAATATGCACTTATCCATCGATAAACGCCCGGCTTGGCCGATAGGTGCTATGCGGGTGCGGGTGACTTACTCCAGTGTGCTTTCTTCTGCCTTTCCGTCAGCATCTTCTCCTCGGTGTCGGTTCATCAAGTCCGTGGGTGCATAGAGAAAGCGGTCGCACGTTCGGTGTTTCCGAAAGATGGGGGGGCACCGATCGGGTTGGCCGTTGAGCAGCGGGCGCAGGACATCCCGCAACCTTGATGATCATGACTCACGAGTGCCACCTGACATCTTGGCCGCTGGCGTTAGTTACTCTCCATAACACCGTTGAAAGCTTGTTGTGTGGGTGGGTGGCCGTGGGGAATCTGGAGACCTTCGGCCATGCAATGCCGCACTTGCGCACAGACATCACCGATCCCGAGCAGCAGCAGCTCGATATGGAAATTAATTTGGATTCCCCAACGAAGATGCCCGCTACTACTCCATACCGCGGCCATCTGTTGGTGGAAGCCCTGGCCCTACATACCATACGCCCTCTTCTACAGTCCCCTATCCCTCACCGGGATCGCTTCGATCCTTGACTCGCGGCAATTTCATCTTTAGAAAGCGGAAGGGATTTGCCTGCATTGCTCTCAGGTCATTGGCGCGAGGCAAGTTATTTATGCCGCATATGGACCGTGTTGCATGCTCGACGCATGCGCTTGCCGCCAGTCAGAAGCTAAGCACGTACTCACTCCATAGCAAATATTATCAACCAGCCGGAAAGTCCTGTGTACTAGTAGTCCGGACGGATACATAGGCCACCAACCACCTCGGCGGCCCGCTAGTGTCTAACGTGCCTGCCTGGCTGCCTACTTCATGTCGAAACTTCGCAACAGCCGCGAGCTAGGTATGTGTTCTAGTCTACATATACGCTGACGGGCCATGGCCACGATTTGGTCACGGTCGGATTGAACACACGGCTTGCCAACTCACCAGCCGTACCATCTCGGCATCGAAACTTCTGATAGCATCGGAGCACCAGTGTGGGATCGTATTGGTGATTCGTTCGTTATCACTGAGGGAGTTGTTGGCGCATGAATACCGGTATCCTATTCTAAGACGCACGGGATGACCGCCGAACAGGTTCACAGAACCTATGCAGTACCCGTGGCCACGAATACAACAGATCAGCATGGACGGCACTCCGTCTCTGGAATCCCTCTCCTGGCTGTATGGCTCTCTCTCTCCTTGCTTCTTTACCTATACCGCCTTACTACCGATAGGTACGTACCTGTATGTATGTGCCCCTATATTCCTTGCAGAACCTTTGGTATCGTCAAAAGGGCCAATCTAGCTAGCACATTCACGAAGCTGTCGGCGTGGTGCCAGGAGTACGCGCCATAGGTTGGCCGGAGCGGAGGAGCGTCTTTCTACATACTGTCTGATTGTCCTATTATTTCTTTGCCTTCACCGGCTTACCCGCTTTCCCGAGACATTAACTGTCCATGGACCATGGGTATAGGACGGATCTGAGACCTACATACCTGCTTGGTTACTTTTCCGCAGCGGTACGGAAATCACCACTAGTACCATGGAGCTGATGGCCGCCCTCTCAGACTCGCAGCTCCTGCTGCCGCTGCCGTCGCCGTCGCCCATGGTTACTGTTATGTACTGCGTGTCATGCATGGCAGCATGGCAGCATGGCTCCATCGGTGGATACGGTACCCAGCCAGTTCCCTGTTTTCCAGGCCTGATATCATCAACCGATCAATACGGACAAAGAAAGAGCCGGCCTATAAGCCACGGCATGGCCCGCCCCATGCCGGTATGTCATTGTCTTCCGTTAGAAAAATAATAATCTGAAGCGTACCTATCATCTCTGGTACATGGCCTTGATTGGAGTCGGGTACTGTTCCGGGCCCGGCCCGGATCTGTCCGCTTCTTGATACCTAAGTGCCTGCGGCGTAGGTGGCTCGTCGGCATGGCTGCGGCGTGGGTTATCGGCATCTTTGCCGGCATGGTTGGTCGGTATGTATGGACATGGGAAGTGCCTGATCAATGGATGTATGATAATCATGATCCCCCCAAAGGTCAGCATTATTCACGTGCCGGGATTGACTGCATACCCACTGAACTGTGCCACCTCGAGGTAGAGTGATGTCCATAGCAACCCGAAATCCCCTCGGATCTCTGTCGTTTGGTTTCGGGGAGTGGCCGCACTGGCGGAAAGGCCGTACCGGTACTCCACTCCCCGGCATGGGTGTGCGGCGGACATACGGTAGCTATCCTGCTGACGCATACTAGTGGGTTTTGGTGAGTAGGACTGATGAATTTGTGTGTAGGTTTGCAGCATGCCCTCACAAATTACTTACATAACACTGCCAACTCTGGGAGTATATACGCTTAACATCATCATGACAAAGCAATAACACGATGTTTTTTTACTTCCGCATAGGTGCCACGTCTTTTCACCAACCACGTCCATAACGGCTCCTCTAAAATCTCGATACAGTATCTAGGCATGTAGGTGTCCAAGGTCCCGAGAATAATGCACTTTACTAATATGTGTAAATCACTGTGATGGTCCGTGCATGGCTTACGGAAGGAAGCCACATTCGTGGCTCAGTGACTCAGCCGCCACCAGCACCCACTAGGTAGTATTCCGGAGAAGTGATCCGCAGCCTTCCCTGTTTTATAAGGCTTTGAACCAGGGTGCGGGGGTCATCACACCGCCGCGGCTCATGCAAAGTGTTACAAAAAAACAAAAATAAAGACAAAAACGAGGCGTCACCGACATCGACACCACCTTATGTATAATGCAGCCCATAGATACCGTACTTTACGTCGACACGGCCCGTAACATGTATGTGCCCTACATAATACTCTAGCATTCGGGTATCCGCGCACTCACACGTTACGCGCCCATTTCAAAATGCTTTAAATATCTGCCACCTTTTCAATCTCAACCCGGAATCTCCAACCGACCTCTCACCGACTTTCCACCTTATCTAGTGCATCGCCGTACCTACATATCTCCAAGTCCAAGTGACGATTCTCGCCTCGATGTCTGCGCCAGCCAGCCGTGGTGTAGGTACTCTACTACCTAGTACGGCATTTGAATATCAAAACTGCCTCATGGATTGTCACTTGTATGTACCTAGCATACCTACGGTTGATATTATGCGTCCTATTGCCTGTGGTCGGTGCCGCATCGGACTGGTCGGTCCCGGGGGGTTTTCTACCTCGACTGGCCAGGGCGGACACGAAACGGAGCTCGTGGGCTCGCCACAGTGACTTTTCTCAGTCCCTTCACATCGTTGCATACAGTCTTCATAGCCTTCGTAACTTCTTAGTATTGTCCCTGGCATCCCACCAGAATAAGCCTCCTCAAGCCCCCAGTCCGAGTCTGGCGACGGCTAGTTATCGTCCCATCCTCAGTCTGATGCTTCATCCCGTTGTTTACACGAGCTCGTTTGCCTTTATAAGCAGTCTCCTTTTTGATCTTTCCCGTATAATTACTCCAATTAAGTCAAGTTCTGCTCTCAGTTTCAACACCTACATACGAGTAGTTGTGTGATGCGCGACCTCCGGCGGCCTACAGCCCGCGGATGTGCGCACAAAGTGCAGTTTTTGGCTCTCCAGAGTCCATGTGGCGGCTGGCGCTTGTCCTGTAAAATTTAAAGTTGTACTAGGCGGCGTAAAACGCAATGTAAGGCGCGAGAGTTTGGAAACAGCCACGATGGGAACTTGAAAATGCAAGAGAGAGAGAGAGAGAGGCGGGTGGGTTTCTTTTCTTCCTGATGTTTGGTAATTTGACCGGTGCTATTCAGATTCGTTGGCAGCTGCCTTTGGATGGGATCTGGAGCGCGTCGTCACGACGATTACCCTCGGTCGTCGTATGCCCTCAACTCGTAGTTATCCCCGTTACGCGGGATAATAAGCTAGGGCTCCACTACTGGTAGTAGCCGCAGGATGGTTTTTCGTGGTCGAGCTATATCATGTGGCGTCACTCGCGGAAAGTTCATCTCGAGCACGTGGTATGAACCATGATTACTCACTCGTTGCGGCTAAAAGTCTTTGCATAGCGCCTTGGCGCAGACAAAGTTTCTGATCTCAACTGAACCTTTTTCCTTTCGCTATCACTTGGTTCCTGACCACTAACACCCACAACCACAACCACAAACAAAACCACCACCGCCGCTGAGATCACCACTTCTACTGCACGCGAATCTTTTCTTCAGCGCACTGTTTCTGCCATATACCCTTTACTTGATACTTGATTACATTCGCAATGCCGTCGACGCACAATGTGGACAAGCCGTGGGACACGGACGACATCGACAAGTGGAAGGTTCGCTCGCGCCCCACCCTCTCTCCCCCTCCCCCACGTCAGCCGTTTCTAAACTTCATAGTGCTCACGCAACATCATTACAATAGATTGAAGAGTTCAAGCCGGAAGATGCCAAGTGCGGGCCCTTCCAAGTTGAATCGGACTTCCAAGTGAAGTTTCCCAAGTACCGGGAGACGTACCTGCGCCAGGCGTGGCCGCTGGTGACCCGCTCGCTCGAGAAGATGTTCATCGCTTGCCAGCTGGATCTGATCGATGGCTCCATGACCGTCAAGACCACGAGGAAAACTTACGATCCGAGCGCGATCCTGAAGGCGCGCGATCTGATCCGGTTGTTGGCCCGGTCAGTGCCCGTCCCCCAGGCGGTCAAGATCCTTGAGGATGATATGGCGATGGATATCATCAAGATCAATGGCATGGTGCGGAATCGGTCAAAGTTTGCGAAGCGGAGACAGAGAATTCTGGGCCCCAATGGAAGTACGCTGAAGGCTCTGGAACTCTTGACTGGATGTTACATCCTCGTCCAAGGAAATACGGTGTCGTGCATGGGTGGGTACAAAGGCCTGAAGGAGTTGCGGAGAGTGATTGAGGATTGCATGAAGAATATTCATCCGATTTACCACATCAAGGTGAGCAACAAAGATTCGCGTTTCTTTCTTTCGTTCTTTCGTTCTTTCGTTCTTTCGTTCTTTCGTTCTTTCTTTTTCTCTTCGGAGAGAAGGGGGTTTACATGATGAGTTTTTATAAAATCATATGATAGGAAGAGTCTTAGCCTTTTTGATCATTGGCATTGAAGACGACTTTCAGCTCTGATACCCATGCCCCCTTCATCGCTGCTTGATTTCCCCACATCTCTTGAAGTAAAGATGCTGACAGTAATCACAGGAACTCATGATCAAGCGTGAGCTCGCCAAAGACCCTGCCCTTGCCAACGAGGATTGGAGTCGTTTCCTTCCTCAGTTCAAGAAGCGCAATGTCCAGCGCAAGAAACCGGCCAAGATTACCGATAAGTCCAAGAAAGTTTACACGGTATGTAAAACCTTTGCTGATGATTTGAGTGCTTGGTATCTAACATTGTTATAGCCCTTCCCTCCAGCACCAGAGAAGTCCAAGGTGGACCTGCAAATTGAGAGCGGAGAGTATTTCCTTACCAAGCAGGCAAAGGAACGTGCTGCCCGCGAGGATCGAGAAGATAAGAGGAAAGAAAAGCAGAAGGAGAAGCAAGTGGAACGCGAGAAAGACTTCATTCCTCCCACGGAAGAGGGCGACCAGAAGAAGTCAAAGAAGCGCAAGCGAGAAGGCGAGACAAAGGAAGAGCGCAAAGCCCGTAAGGAAGAGAAGAAGAAGAGAAAAGAGACTGTCATAGACGAGTCCGACGATTAGTTCCTGTGCCTTACACTCTCGTCATTCTTGCATTTTTCGACTTCCTGGAGATTTGTACTTTTTTTACTTCTTTTTGCATATGGCGTTTCTGAGCGAATTTCACTGTTTCTGCTGGCTTACATAAATTGATTTGCCTTAATTGATTGTTTTTGTCTGAGCCCTCGCAATTCACGGATCTTCGTGATATGTGTACGTGAGTGAAAATCGTGTGCGACACATGCCAATCCAACCGCACTACATACACCGGCACGGAAGGACGTTGCCACGGTGTTGACACTTGGCGCCAACCCTTCCCTGTCCAAAGTGTTGAGAATTAGAGTATCTACTGGCGTTTTACTTTTGTTCTTCGTTCTCTTCCATTGATCTTCAGTCATGTCGGTTCAAGAACTTTACGCCCGCCTCAACGGCCTCGTCGGTGATTGCACCCTTCACACTCTCGCCTTCTTCGGTGCTGCCACTCTCGTCATCTCGCTCCTCAAGCTGTCCAATGCTTTCCTGTCGTTGTTCGTCCTCAGCGGAACCAACGTAAGTCTCCGATTGATTAACCTCGCCAACGATTGACGAGCTAACGCGTCGGATAAACAGCTGCGAAAGTATGGACCCAAAGGTTCCTGGGCGTTGATCACCGGAGCGTCGGACGGTATCGGCAAGGAGTTTGCACTCCAGTTCGCTCAGAAAGGCTTCAACATTGTCCTCGTTTCTCGCACCGCCTCCAAGCTCGATGCCCTCGCTACCGAGATATCCTCCAAGTTCGCTGGCGTGCAAACCAAGACCCTCGCCATGGACTTTGCGAAGGACTCTGCCGCCGACTACAAGCGCTTGGCCGAACTCGTCGAAGGGTTGGACATCGCAGTCCTTGTCAACAACGTCGGCAAGAGCCACGACATGCCCGTGCCTTTTCTCGAGACCGAAGACGTCGAGATGGAAGACATCATCACCATCAACGTCAAGGGAACTCTCAAGGTCACCAAGGTCGTCGCTCCCGGCATGGTTGCGCGTCGCCGCGGCCTGATCCTCACCATGGGCTCCTTCGGCGGTTTCCTCCCGACTCCTCTCCTGGCCACCTACTCTGGCTCCAAGGCATTCCTGCAGCACTGGTCCACCGCGCTCGGTGCCGAGCTCAAGCCCCACGGTGTCGAGACTCAGCTCGTCATCGGATACCTGATCACCAGCGCGATGAGCAAGATTCGCAAGTCGAGCATGATGATTCCCAACCCCAAGCAGTTCGTCAAGGCTACTCTCGGAAAGATCGGACTCAAGGGCACTGCTGGTGGTATGGCGGGTACCATGACGCCGTTCTGGAGCCACGGTGTCATGCATTGGGCTATTCAAGAGTTTTTGGGTGTTTGGAACGGAATCGTGTTGGCCAAGAACAGGGATATGCACGCCAGCATCCGCAAGAGGGCTCTGAGAAAGAAGGAACGCGAGGCGGCCGGTGTTAAGAAGGCCACCTAAGTTGGAGAATCATGTTGAGAGTGGGAGGGTGCGGACAAAATCACAATAAAAGCTAGAAGATTCCTGACTGCATTGTATTCTCCTGTGATTCAAACAATTTATCGTAGATTTTCAGTCCATTGTACATGGGTAATATAAAATGGTCACCCTGCACGAAATATGTGACGAAATGCTCAAGTGTCTCCGTGGTCTCTTGTCGCGACAAGCCTCCAGCAGAGCCTCATTCTAACCATTCTGCCAAGCCAGCGCGTTGACGCCCATCCGAAAACATCGCGAATCCACAACTTGACCTACAACACTAACAACAACAAAGTCGTAACTCCAAACCCACTCCTCCTCCTCCACTTCCCATTACATACTTCTCCCCCTCATCACTATCGCTAAACTCTGCTTCCCGGACTACTTTTCGAATCGCGACCGAAATCCCCATCCATTCGACACGACTGCTTGCCTGTCAACGTCACCTAGGCATGTTCGGCGCATCTTCACCTGCTGTCTCCACCGGCGGCGGGATGAACCTCTACCCAGACCTTCCATCGGAGTTGCGCACCCAAACCACCGCCAATGCGCCATCGCAGCAACTGCAGCAGCAGCAACAGCAGCAACAGCAAGGCTCCCAGACCTCTACAGCGACAACCACCACCACGACAACAACGAACAACTCCTCTCTAGCGCCTGCGCGAGGCACAACAGACAACCTTGGACCCGTTCAGCGGGCGGCAAGAAGCATCCAGGAGACCCTAGAGGCAGAGAAGAGGTATCCACAGCTGGATGACATCGTATCGCGTGAGTTTCGACCCGTCACTCCCGCCTCCGGCCGACGTCTGCTGACCTGCGGTGTGTGTTTGTGCGGCGATCAGAGGGTCAGTCACAAGACTATGAGTTGGCCCCGGCGCATGCCTGGGAGCCTTTCGTCCGCGTTAATAGCTACACGATACCAGATGTCATCTTTGAACAGTACAACCGCGTCACAAGTTACACGCTGATGGGCTTGTTTCCGGAGATCAAGCAGGCATGGGTTACCGTTGACAATCGGCTGTACATGTGGGATTATGCTACGCAGACCGGTTTCATGGGCTACGAGCAGCAGACCAATACGATTACGGCGGTCCGAATGCTGAAGCCAAAGCCAGGTACGGGGAAGCTGTCTGCTGATGCAGTGTTGATGACACCGGAGCGCTAATCGTTATGTAGGCGTGTTTGAGAATGTTAACTACATTCTCGTTGTGGCTACAATGGTTGATGTGTTTTTACTTGGTGTGAACGCAACGCAAAACCAGCGAGGGATCTTTGACGTCACGCTATTTGAGACCGGAATGAGTATTCCAACCAAGGGAATCAACGTTACGATCATAGAAGGCAGCAAGAAGACAGGAAGGATCTTCCTTGCCGGTCACACAGATAACGAAGTTTACGAATTTTCTTACCAGGTGAGTTTAACGGTGCCTCGATGCGAATGACAGGCTAGCTAACTTGTGTGTAGGCGGAAGAGCGATGGTTCCAAGGTCGATGTCAAAAGATCTGTCACACCACAAGCAGCGCATCTGCGTTTGCTCCCCGACTGCCGGCATGGGCGTCTGGACCAAAAGACACCGAAAATGTCAAGCAGATGGTTGTGGACGATACCAGGAATCTGCTGTACACATTGTCCTCGAAATCGACAATACGAGTCTTCCACTTGCGCGGCGATGGAGCTCTCGTGCAGAGTCTCTCGCATTCGTTCTCGCACACTCTGGCAAACATCCGTGTCATGGTTGGAAACACTCCACTATTGGGACCCGAAACCCCGATTGTGTCGATATCACCGGTCTCGGCCCTCCAAGCTAGACGCACACATCTCATTGCCGTTACAAAGTCTGGATGCCGGCTCTTTATGAGCGCTGTTTCGTCCGAATACGGCTTCGGAGGCACCGACTCAGCCCCCACCAGCATGCAGGTTATCCACATCCGATACCCGCCCAACGGTTTAGTCCACAACGATGTGCGGAAAGCCAAGGTCTTCACACCCGGATACTTCTTCTGTTTCATGGAAAGGAATCCCACACTGGACGAGCTGCTCTTTGCTGCGCCGGATTCTGCGAAAATTCAGGCACTCGCAGATGGTGGTAACATAAGGCTGCAGCTTGCCGAGCAAGCAAGCACCGCAGACTTGGGTTCTCGAGTGGAGTCCATTGAGCTTGTCGCTGGGCCTTTTGCTGCCCAACGATCGCCCCCTGGATTCGGAAATGAGCTCGCCACGCAGTACGACGTGACACCGACGGAAATCGCTATTCTCACAAATTCTGGAGTCACTGTACATCGTCGACGACGACTTGTGGAGGTATTTGATGGGCTGCTGAGATACGGCAGTGCGGCTTCGACAATCGGTGTGGAGGGTGAAGTTCGCAAGTTTTTTAATGACTATGGACGCGCTGAAGGTTGTGCATCTGCACTTGCTGTCGCTTGCGGTGCTAGCCAGGATTCCACAGCCTCCCAGACTGCTTCCAGGATTAGCGACATGGAAATTGAGGATCTTGCTCGGAGGTACTTCATCGAATTCGGTGGTAAGCCGAGGGCTGATAATGTCTTTGAAGCCTCCGGGGTGCCTAGCCTTGACAGCATCAAGGTTTCGGGCCGCGCTGAAGGATTGCAACTTTACCTCGCCCGCATCGTTCGGAGTATATGGAAGGCGTTCATTATCAGCGAATCTCGGACCCCCGGCGGCGGCTTGGAATATGTTTCGAGCGTTCCCATGGCGAAGCTGAGGTTGATTCAGGACCAACTTGTGCGACTTGATCACTTTGTCCGGACAAACAAGAGCTTCATCGTGGGCTTGTCTGGTGCGGACAGTCTCCTGGTTGCTGGCAGCAAAATTGACGAAGTGGCGAACCAGGCGGAACACCGCATGCTCCACGCGCTTGTCACATTAAACCAGAGTATGATCGAGGGCATTTCATTCGTCTTGTTCTTGTTGGAGGATAAGCTCACCGACATCATTCTTTCTTTGGACACTGCGAGCCGAGAATTGGTTGGTACCATGACCTATGGTGGCCTTTTCGCCACTCCCCAGGGACAGAATCTTGCCAAGGAACTGGTCACCGCTATCGTCAACAGGAACATCGCCCATGGAGTGAATGTGGACACGATTGCGGATGCTCTCAGAAGGAGGTGCGGTTCCTTCTGCAGTGCTGATGACGTGGTTGTGTTCAGGGCACTGGAACAAGTCAAGAGGGCCAAGACGGAGAAGGACGCAGATGTCAAGCACAGGCTCTTGAGAGAGAGTCTCCGCTTATTCGAAGAGACCGCAGCTAGTCTGACAATGGACAACCTTTCGGACATGGTGCAGCAGTTCCGGGAGCTTCAGTATCACCCAGGCGCGGTTCAACTGGCACTTGTGGTTGCGAAGGAGGCAGATCGGGGAAACATCACGTTGCAGTTCTTGACCGAGCCTCCAACGGTGGAGAACGAGACATCGGAGATTTACCACAAGCGCGTCCAGTGCTATGGCTTCATCTTCGCAATCCTAGAAGACCTCGATCGACTCAGCACTCAATCCCCGGAGATGATTGACGGTGCTCCATCTCCCATAATGCGTCTTCGAAACGAGACCTGGACTCTGATCTACAACTCCGACGACGAGCTATTCCACTACCACCTATACGACTGGCTTTACTCCCAGGGCGGTGCCTATGCGGAACGTTTGCTCGACATCAACTCCCCATACGTCCTTGGATATCTCACATACCGAGGCGCGGAATCACTCGATCACTGCGAACTGCTCTGGCAATACCATTCGCGGCGAGAGCGGTTCTTCGAAGCGGCGGAAGTTCTTCACGAGCTTGCCATCTCCGAGTTCCAGCTTACGTTGGAGAAGCGACTCGAGTTCTTCTCTCGTGCGAGAAACTTCTGCAATTCTTCGTACTCGGGTGCCTCAAGGAGGAAGATGAACGAGCTCGGTCAGACGATCCAGGAGGAGCTAGACGTCGCTGTCATCCAAGACGATCTGTTGAAGAGGCTGCGCGAAGACCCCCGGATATCAACTGAGAAGAAGTTTAAGCTTGAGGCCAAGTTGGGTAAGGGGATCATCGATCTCAGCAAGGTAATTATCATACCCCCCCCCTGTTTGGTAAATCAATGCTAATATGAATCCCAGCTGTTTAACGAGTACGCATCTCCCTATGCTTACCACGACATTTGCCTGGCGATCTTCCAGGTAGCCGAATACCGCGGCTCCGCCGACATAAAGAAGTGCTGGGAGATGTTAATCTCTCAAAAGCACACGCAAGCACTCGAACAGGGGGAAGCACAGCCCTTTGAGGTTGTCGCCGAGACAGTCCGCAGCATGGGAAGCCGTTTCGCGTCGAGCGAATACATTTTCCCGGCTGGCGACCTGATCCCGCTGCTTGAGCGGTATGCATTCGAGCACCAGCGCGACGTCGGCCCCGACGGCTGGGTGGTGGACACGTTCATAGAGGCTGGAGTAGCAGAAGAACGGATCCTCCACGTGCTGGTGGACATGTTCTACCGTGACGAAGTTCCATTCCGCGGACTCGCGAAACGTCGGATCCTGGTCGACACGGTCAATCTGGTGGAGCGCTGGTGGAGTAAGGTTATTAAGCGGGGCGGAAGCAGCTCCGAGGGCTTCAGGGGACAGACAGTTTCTGAGGCGCTTAGAAGGATGATGACGCAACTGCCCACTGTCGGCCCGGAGGCGGATAGAGTGGACAGAGTGTTGGCGGATATCGCGAGGAGGGGGTATTAATGGGGTTGCGATGTGTATGTGAGGGTGAGGAGGAAGGGGAAAAGTGGGCAATTCAAAGTTGTGGGCGTCGTTGTATTATAGTGAAGATACAGAGGGGGGGGTTCGGTTTTTACTTCTTCTTTACTTCTTCTACATCTGTGTTTTCTGATTCCGATTTCTTTTATATCACATCTTTCTCTTTCTTCTCTTTCTTTTTGGTTTTTTTTCCTAGTAGCGGTGAAAGACGGTGGGGAATATCGATATGAAGTTGTTGGCAGATTCTTCTGGACGTCCCGTTCATTATCCCTTCTGTGTTTTGGTTATGGTTTTAGTTTTGGCATTGGGTTTTGTCCCCTTGTGCTCGCGGCAGTTTGTAGTTATGTGTCAATACTCGGATGTGAAGTGAGGTGATGTGATGTGAGATGCTGGAGATGCTGAATGGGGAGGGGAGAGGAGGGGAGGGCGGGTGTACACATGAATGGGGAATTGAAGCGACCGGATCGGACCGTCTATGTATGGCGTGGGTATGCATACTGGCATTGGTACTGGCACTGGCACTAACTAGCGATTACTACCCACTGCATTGGCGTGTACTATACGGCACAGAGTGCTGATCGCACCACTCCACACTCTAGGTATAATAGAGAGTTTGCGCTTTGCGTCTAGACGCAAATTTAGCCTGGTTTTCACTTGATCGTTGTGAGTTCGTCTAGAGAGTTTGCGCAGTTGCTCAAAAGATCGACAGATCAACAGTGTGCCAACCAAGGCAGCAACACGTCTTTTCGGGGTTCTTCAATTCGATTTTCTGCGTGTACTCAAGTACTTCTTGCAGTAAATCTAGTCGTATCGCGAGTTCATTGATTTCACGTCTTTTTGGCTTTCCAATTTTCATCTAGAAGCGTACCTATCCAACCTCATCCTTTTGGTCTTTGGGTGGCATCCGACTCTTTTTTCTGGGTTCCAAGCAATATCCTATGCACAATCTGAGCATGACGGCATTCTAAATCTCGTTGACCGTGAACATGGGACGCGACGACAGTTCATGGTGGTTGTTGGTGGTATTTGGTGGGAAGGCTGGATTTGCGTTTTGTCTAGACGCAAATACCCTTGATTTGCGTCTGGACAAAACGCAAATTTCCGGGTCCAGAGCGCCAAGAGAACCGGGTCACAGCCTGGTTTTTGAGCAAACTCTCTAATGCACACTCCACAATTCGCATACGGTATCCCCACGGTATTTCCACGGAACTATCCGGTGTGAACATGTAAGCATTTTTGGCTTGGTGCTATAGTAGCTAGCTCCATCCACGACCAGCCAGCCAGCCAGCCAGCGTGTGTTTCCATTTCCACGCACGAAACATACGAACTACCTACCTGGTACCTAAGGACCCAAGGTGCTGTTGAATCCTCACCATTTCCCTGGCGCGTCCGGCGTATACATACTCTGGACGTTCATACATACATGTGTAGGTCGGTGCTCGGGTACCTAGCCCGCTACTCGCTGCCCGATGACATATGTACGGTGCGAGCCCTCCTCCTTCTCCTCGTCGGCTTGCAACATCATCTTGCGGTCTAGACTCCCAGCACGCATTCTCGTACCGCCTCACGCCGCCTCACTCGTGCAAGCGCATGGTTCTGTCCAGTGGTGTCCGTACTACGTAGTTCCAAGTTCGTGCATACGAGATAAGTTGAAGATCTCTCTCTCTCGTTCCAAGTTCGTACGTGCGAAATAAATTGAAGATCTCTCTCTGTCGTTCCAAGTTCGTTTCATGTTCCCGGCTAGCCCGCCCCACACCCACCGCCGCACGCCCCGTCCTCCCGTCCCTCCCGCCCGTCCGCCCACTTCATCCCTCCCCTCTCATCCTTCCTACATATCCCTCCCTCCCGTCCCTTCCATTCCCTCCCCGTCCGTCCGTCCGTCCGTCCGTCAAGCCAAAAATAAATAATAGTTCCCGCCGTCCGCCGATGATTAGATGTGTAAGTAGAAATGGAAAGCAAAGACCCGCCCCAACCGAATGACAGTCGTTAACTATAGTATAGGTAGTAGATCGTAAAAAATGAAAAAGGAAAAAGGAAATTTTAAAAAATATGATTGCCCCCCGCCCCACCAAAAAACAAAAAACAAAAACAAAACACCGGTATCCATCTATAGAAAAGAGAGAAGGAGAAAAGGAGAAAGTGAAAAGGAATAGGTAGGAAGTAGGGAAATGAAGGGTGAAGGGAGGGTGGAAGGGGGGGTCATGGGTGGACTGCGGGTAAAGTCTCGCAGCCCACTGGTTTTCTTCCTTTCAGCACCACGCTACGAGACTGTTAGCATACTTCGTTCCAGGAGATTCCCTCTCTGATCGTGAGGGAAGGAGGGGGGAGCCTACAAAGTCGTGTACAGCTCCAATTTCTTGTTTGTGATATCCCTCTTCGCCTGTCTGGCGAGGGCCTCCGCCTCGCCCGGGTCCACGCACGCAAATATATACGCATCGACGCCCTCGAGAGCGCTGAGCATATTCAGGGTACCGATCTCCTGCTCGGTGGCGCTTTCCTTCGACCAAGCACCGAGCGGAATGTTGTGGCGGGTCAGTTCGACGTCCACGAAGCCGGCGGCGCGCATGAGCGCATCGAAGGTGAAGAGTTCCTCGCCGCTAGCGCGGCCCTGGCTGGTGAGGAAGGACGAGAAGCAGCTGGTGGCGCGCGTGATGGCCAGCGTGGATAGCGGCGTCGAGGCGTTGTCCGTGTATAGCTTGCCTGGATCGTCTTGAAGCTCGAGCCAGCCCCCGGGGTGTAAGGTTCTGAGAGAGGTTGTTAGAAGATGTGGGGGATGTGATGCCAGGTGGGGGCGGGAGTGTAGAATAGCCTACCTGTAAGCTTCCGAGAAAAATGTGGGCCAGTCGTTGATTCCGCCCAGCTAATATTTCCAGAGTTGGGGTCAGTTATCCGGCGGGACACATAGCAGCAGGAGGGATGACGATACTGATGGACTTACCAGAAACCTGCTGTGAACTAGCGAAAAGTAGTTGGGAGGGTACAGCCACTCGTCGTTCGCGTCTTCGATCTCGAAAGTGCAGTTGACGGGACCGGCCACTTGGATCGGGGAGAGATCCGTGCCGATGATCTGTCAACAGGTTGTCAGCTAACCTTGTCCATTGTCCTGTATCACCCAACCAACATGGAGTGTCAGGGGAGAAATCCCGACGGTTATAGTTGTCAGTGGGGAAAATAGAGCAACATACCCGAGCGTTCGGAAACTTGCTGCATGGTAATACACATTAACACACCATCATCTTCGGAGATCATGCCCAGAGCCAGAAGGCCGGAAGGTGGGGGGGTCTTGCGAAGACCAAATTCGAAAGGGGAGATATATCACTCACTCGGCCATATCGATCGCCCAAACACCTGGTATGACATGTCAGTTCGTTGTCCGCTCAGGCGGGAAAGGGAGCCCCGTGGAATGTAAACCCACCTGTTCCGGTACCAACATCCAAGATCCTCTTGGGCTGCTCCAGGGGAACCAAGTGTAACTGTTGATTTAACCTGACGCAGGCAGTCAGCATCTCGACGCATAGGATGGCCACGGGGGTATATTATGCACGAACCGTAGAGACAGCATCTGATCGAGTATCTGCATGCGATCTTGCTCTTGCTACGCCAACATGCCAGTCAGCCCACTTGTCGGAGGGGGGGCGGGAACAAGTGCAGTTACCTCATCGTTCGGCAATGGCCAGTCCTCACGGAACGACTGGTATCGTCGGTTGTTTTCGAAGCGGTAGTTGGCGGTGTTTGAGGAGCGGGATATTGAGGATGCCGAGGAACAGGTTTCAACGCTGAACAACGAGCAGTTGTCGTCGGCGTCGTCGGCTTCGTCGTAGTCTCCGTTGCGAGTGTATTCCCAAGCATACTGCCGCAACAATCGGTATGTCAGCAATCGAAGATCACGGGTACTCCGGAGCCCCCGATTGCAATGGAACGGCGGGTGTTCGTCACACGGGGGGCAATAATGGACCGGAAAAGCAATGGTGGCAGGAGCTCACCTCCGAATCCGCATCTTCGAACGAGGGGACAGTGTTGGTAACGTTTTCAATTCCCGCCATTTTTTGGAAGTCAAATGATGATTATTGGGCACGATAATAAACAAGCAGTCGGGGCAGATATATATATAGGGATATATATTCTGACGAGAAGGAGAGAGCGAGAAAGAGAAGAGGAAGCCACAGATTTCCCAAAGAAAAGTTCTTTTTTTGGGTGGGTGGAGGCGGGCTCGGATACGTAGGAGTTGCAGTTGGATGGTTATTTAGCTCTTCACGACGTGTCAACGGTGGTAGACCAGCAGACAACCGGCAAGTCCGCGCGAGTAGGCAGACAGTAGGAGGCAGGAAAGGCAGCAGCTACTGCAGTACGATGACGAGTCGGTTGAAGGAAAGAATATGCAGTACGTCGTGGAATCGGTGGGACGTGGCAGCTATTCGCACTCGTCTGCGGGCCCGTGGTTGGTAGTTAGGGTATGTAGGATTTCGGGTTCCAGGTGTCGGTATGTACGTTCGGAAGCCAGTGACGGGTGTGGGATATATAGTGTAGCAAAGAGAAGACGAGGACGCCAGCGAGAGATGTGAGATGTGTGTATGGGATTGGTGCAAACGCCCGGCGGAAAAGTGTACATACCAGCGGCCGGGCGCAACTACTTAAGTGGACGATGGGGAGGGGGGTGGAGAGAGAGTCGAATGCAGATCAGGGATCTCTGGAAAACCGAGGATTTGGGTCAGGGCAAGATGTTAGACTCGGTTTGTCAACTGGGACACGCGATATGCGCCCCCGGCCCCCTGGAAAGATGCTCACATATTTTCGAGCGACTACTGCTAGTAGAGTTATCTAACCATGGTCCCGCTTTCTTCGCTCACTTTTTTCTTTTCTTTTCTTTTCTTTTCGGGTAAGCTGGTACGGTTCTGAGACCGAGACGAACAAGGCTCCCCTCCGCTTCTCCCCCTCTCCTCTCCCTTCCACTTTTCGAACCGATATTGCTGGTCCCTTTCCATCTGCGAACGACGACGATGATGGTGATGATGATGACGAACGGGTGGGTATGTGGGTGTGTGGTGTGTGGTGTGCCCAGCATGAGGCGCTGAAACAAACCAGCCACTACATATCCACCTAACCAAACCCTGCGACGCCCGACGCCGACGTCGGCGTCGACTATTCTGCACTTTCCACGCTCGGATCTTCACTTCCACTTTCGTGAGTGGGTGGGGTGAGGATGAAATCGGCACTACTAGTATGCACTTCCCACGTAGGCTGCGTTCACCGCCGTGATTCGTGGGATTCCTCATTCATGTGTGATGTGTGCGCGATGGTGTCAAACACCACAATCCAGACTAAGTGAGGGAGTGTAGAGTAGGATCGGTGTCCCTGCGTAGATAGAGTATAGGTAGTACACCACGTATTTATGTAGGACTACGATCCGGAGTGAGCGGTGGTAGGACCGCGGTCCTTCCAAACACAAGTCCTGAAGAACTTTGAAATCGATTCCACGGTACCGAAAGACGCGATGCCACGCTTCGCTAGCGAAGCGAGGTGAAAGTCGCCACCTCTCGGCCACGGCCGGCAGTGCAGTCGGGCAAAGCCATGTTGTGTCCAGTCCAGTCCTATCCAGTCTCTCGGTCTTGGGCCCAGCAGAAACAACTCGTGCCTGGTGGTGGTGGTCAAAAAGTGGAGCAGCACGGCAAGAATTCTCGTCGGCTTCCTAAGTAAGTACCGACAGAAGAGTCAAGAGTCAAGACCCCCTCTGTATTTTCTCCACGGAGATGGCAAGTAAATACTAGTTATTTCTGGTCTGGAGGTAAATGCCGATCGTGGTAACAAGCAAGTACCGGTATATCTCCCTGAAAAAATGGCAGTTTCCCCCCCGTACAGTCATTTCCAGATATCAATGCCGGTACATATCATACCTATCGAGGCTGCTGGTAAGTACCGGAGGATGCTCTCCACGGACCTCGCCGACGGAGAGAAGAAGACCAAGACGCAATGCTTTTCTGCTCCATGTTTTTTTTTGCCCAGAGGGGGAGGAGAGCCTGAGTCCATGTCCACGTTCGCTCCATCCACTCAAGTCTCATGCAAGTCGAAGGCACATTAAAGTTTAGCACAGTCTAGCATCCGACGACGACGTGACTGCGCTAGAGTAAACGCATCGCCGTGGACCGTGGTCCCGTCCCCACCCCCCCGGTGCCATGGTGCTGGAAAACCCAGTCCAGTGTTCCCTCCCCCTCCCCTCCCCATCTCTAACCAAGCAATAACGCCGGAGAACTATAGAACTCTAGACGGACCTGCTGCGGAAGAGGAGGAGAAGGAGGAGATGGGGCTTGGGCCTCCCCCCGACCCCTCGATCCCGCCGATCCAATCGTGAGCAAACGATAGCTACCCTTCGCCAGTAGAATAGTATCCCACCTGCAGAAAGAAAAAAACGAATCGCATCGTGCACGCCCTTGTGATCAGGGTCCGAGCAGTCGCATCGGGTGTCGTCTCGTCTCGGAAGCCACCTCCACCGCCTCCACCACCAGAACCACCTCCAGCAGCACGGTCGTCGGGTCATTCACCATCTTCATCTTCAAGTTTCCACGCCCTTCCCCTCATCTCATGCAGCCCACGCACCTCCAGGCTCCTACACTGCCGGATCTTACCGTTTCCCATTATCACCTATCCCCAATCCCCCACCCCTACCCTGCCTATCCCTATCCTCGAATTCAGCCGTCTCCTTTTGAGTTTTCCCCCTCACTTCACTTGTACAAACTGCAAACGAAACAACGAGAGCGAGAACGAGAAATAGAATACATACCCTGCGCGGCCCCCAATCAATCAATCTTAACTAGATACCTAGAGTAGAGTATCGGCGCGTTCCGCCCACGCGGATGGCATGGGGTGGGGTGGGGTGGTACTTTTGGGATGGGATGGCGTGGGGTGATTGCCAATTGGCGCGGCGAGGCGCGGCGGGGAAACAACAAGTTCATTGACGTAGAGTACCTGGGTAGGCCCAGGCTCCGACATGTTTTACTTGCTGTCAGCAACAACAATGACGACGATGATGATGATGGCAATAACAACGATAAGAAGAAGAAGAGAAGCGGCACAGGATCCCAGATTCCAGATGAAACCGCGCGCGGATGGGAGGGGGGGTGCACAGCCGCGGTAGATACTGTGCATACCTTCATACTCGGTATATGTGGGTACGTAAGGATATGTACCAGGAACAGTACAATAAACCACTGGTGCGGGGAAAGGGAGCGAAGGAGGGATTGAAGGAAGGAAGGCACTCTACATCGGAAGCAAGGAGAGGGCGGGGAGGAGCCGGGGTGAAGTGTGCGCAATCATCCCCGGCGCTCGTCCCCCAAGTTCCAACTATTTCAATCCCGCGGAGCAGTGGAACACTCTATGGCACATGGCACATGCTGGCACTCAACCCAAAACCGGGAGGTTGGTAACAATTATCGCAGTGCATCGGCATTGGCACTGGCATGGGACTGGCGGTGGGAGCAGGTGTTACAAATTACACAGGAGACGATCCCGACAATCCGTTCGGCCTGCCTGATCAGTGATACATACCGCACCATCCCATGGGATCCTATGGGATCCCACCATTGCACTGGGTTCTCCTTCTCCTTCCAATTCCATTCCCATTCCCATGCTCTGGTCGAGGCCGGGGGGGGGGGGGGGAGCTGAACTCGTGCGTGCGTGTGCGTATAGCTAGTGGTGTACCGAATCATCGGAATCTGCATTTTTGTCTTTCTCCTGATCCCAATGATCCCATGCAGTGGATATCCCATGCAGTGGATATATGCAGTAGATATATGCAGTAGATATATGTAGTGGATATTCCTAGTAGTATACTAGATATAGTACTAAGTATCTACTTGGTACGTACCTACATACATAGACACTTTGGGTGGCAGGCAGGAGAAAGGTACGGTACGGTTCCCAGCCCCTCTCCGTTCCCCCCTCCATGGATGAGGTAGGTAGAGTATGTAGGTAGTACGACTCCGGTAGAGTAAAATGCAAAAAAGATGACGATCCGATGCGATGGACTGGACGGGAAAGAAAAAGTGAAAGAAAAAAAAAGAAAGAAAAAAAAGAACTGGGAATGTATTCGAAGGTTGTAACTTGTAGGAGTAGGAGCGGGAGATAATTCCGCCTCGTCACTCGAGGACCTCGAGTCCGTTCGTTTTCACAAGTGGACTGACCATTATTGCTCGATGAGCTGCATCTGCCGCTCCTGGGTCCTGAGTCTACTATTAATGGCACGGAAGAACCCACTAGCCAGTAGCTGCACAAACGAAAAGGTATGTAGACGCACGGCGTGCAAGAATGACGAGCAGGGCCTATTCATCATGATCAATCGACTCCATTATGCGATTGATCGAGTGACATCCCATGCTAGTCCATGGTAGCCTGTAGGCACAGTTCATCCCCCAATCCAAACCTCCGAAACAAAAATGCAAGAACAAATAGAAAACCGAAAACAAATCACCGAATAGCCCTGCCAAGTCCTCGCACCACACCCACAACTTCCTCCACCAAGCCATCGCATGCACCCGCTACGCAAGAAAATGCACCCACGTCGACACTGCCGTTGCGAACTGCGACTTCAAAGTCCAGATTCGTCTTCTGTTTGTCAGCCTCCAACCTACGGCGGATGTGGGGAAGTGGGAGGATATAACATACCCTGATGTTTGTGGAAACGCTGCTACTCGTCATGCTCCTCCTCCTCCGCAGCTTGGACCGTAGTCCCAAAACCCACCACCAGTACCTCACCACCTTCAGCGCCACCGCCGCCGCAAAGAATCGCCCCAGAAAGTCGTGCAGGAAGGACTGATACATTCTCATCACCGCTCCCGGGCGCCCCCTTATCTGCACCTCACTTCCCACTTCCTCTTCCTCCTCCTCGATCTCTAGCTCCTCGAGCACAACTCCTCCCCCTCCTGCGGAAGCACTGCTCATTCCCTCGTGATCGTGCGTCTTCAAAAAGTTGAAAAACACATCCACCTCCACGCCCGTCCACCTCTGTATGCGCTTCAGATCCACAACTGCATTTTGCACGTTCCCGATAGCGATGAGGTCCATTTGGATATTTCTCACCAGGTCGGTGAGGCTCGACGTCGCAAGTCCACGAACTCGGAGGGGAACGATATTGAGAGTTGGCGACGCCATGCCCGAAAGCTCGGGGCCGAAAATGTTCCGGTTCGCGAAATAAACTCCGATTATGATTTCGTCGGCTGCGCCTATGCGCTGGGACAAGACCCGTGCGAATGCGGCAAGAAACACGGCGTGGACGGAAATGCCCTCTTTACGACAGTAGAGCTCCACGCTGGAGGCGTTGCGGATTGCGCCGGGGCGGTAGACCGATGAGCGGCTGGTTGTCTGCGCGGTGCGGCGCTTCTGCACTAATGTCGATTTCGCACCGTGGAGATACTCGGTCCAGAACTCGCGCTGCTTGTTGGTGTTCTGGATTTGGGTCAGGGCGACGTACTGCAGAAACTTGGGGCCCTCCGGTTCCGGCGTCTGCATGCGTGTTTCCCCAGGACGCTGTTTCAGTAGCGAACCCAGCCGTGTGAGAAGCATCGGGAGACTGACTCCGTCGTAGAGTGCGTGGTGAATCGTCAAGAACAGAATCGTTTCCGTAGGCGTGTTGTTGTAGTAAAGTCTCACCGCCGGCAGGTTCATGTCGGGGACTTTCTTCTGCTCACGTGCTTTGATGAAACGCAAGAACACGGGATCCAGTGGCTGTGACGTCTCTGACCAATCAAAGTCTGGCGGAGGTGCCCTAAGTACAACCTGGACGAAGGGTACTTCCTCGTTTCCGGTGGGGCGGAATATCGTGCGAAGAATCGCTTCCTGTTCCACCAGTACCTTCCAGGCGTGCCGTATCTGCGAGTGGTTTATCCGCGCAGTCCTGAAGGTAAATGTCGGCATGAAGATGGTACGATTGGAACTTTCCCATGCCTCCAGCATGTAAAGCTGTCCAGCTGTGGCGGGATAGACCGCCTCAATTTGAGCTGGCGGGATATCGTGGAGACATTTAAACATGTCAAGTTCCGCTAGAGACTTTCTGATAACAGCCGTAGAGTCAATTGACGGCGCGGCAGCTGTTCCATTGGTTTTCACTTCTGAAAGGGAAGTTGCCATACGTTCGATGGTAGCTTCCCGGAGGATGTCGGCGACGTTCAAGCGGATATTTTCCTTGCGCAAGTCCGATGCCAGCCGGATGGCACTGATTGAGTCGAGACCGAGATGGAATATTGTCTGTGTGCGCTGTATTTCATCCTCGGGAAGACCGGAGACTTTCGAGAGAACAGTCCGGATTTTGCGTTCCAGAAGGGACCATTCGCCGGTCTGCTGTTCGATTGCGTACTGCTGCCTGTTTGCCAAGGCCTCGAACCTGACGTGCAACGCTTCTCTGTCGACCTTGGGGCCGGCAAAAGGTATGCTATCGGTGGCGACGGCATATGAAGGAACAGACCAGTAAGGTAGTACCTTATTCGCAGCAGAAATCACCTTCGGAATCGCGCTGGCAGCTTGGCTACCAGCCAGAAAAGCCACAAGCACATCCCTTCCTGCGTCACTAGCCACAATAACCGCGCACTCATCCACCTCCGAAGACGCATCCCTAAGGGAATCGGCAACCTCATCCAGATCAACCCTCATTCCATTCAACACTGGCTGTGATCGTCGCGGCACAACCGGGAGGTTTCCAAAGACCAGGCCGTTTTCGGCATAGGTGATCACCGGATGCTCTGGATTTTGGACGACGTGCGCGAGTAGGGAGTCCAGGAGCTCAAGGAGATAACTTCCCTCCTCGGACACGGACTTGCACGCACTGCGCCACGTGATGGTGTCGCCGCTGCGCTCCATCTCCACTGCGATGTTGTATTCGACGTCGGATGACCCTCCAACAGACCTATACAGGCTCTCCCCGCCATCACCGGACTCCTGCGACCGCTGAGACAAAAAGAGAGTATCAAACAGCCTCGCCCCTTCACCCCTAACCAGCCGCTGAATCTCCCTTAGCGGGGTATGTTGGTGTCTCAGCGTCTCCGCTCCATTCTCTTGCACATATGCCAGCAAGTCTGCATACGAGCCGTGAAGGATCGTGCGTACAGGCGCCGTGTTCATAGCCGGAAACATGACCTCATCTGCACCATCATAGTCTCGGCCGGAGAGCACACTCCCAAAGACCACGTCTGTCTCGCCGAGATAGTAGGCTAGCATGAGTGCCCAGCATGTCTGACCGAGTGCTTGTAGGGTGGCTCCGATTTGCTTACAGAAGGCGCGGGCTTCGGTCAAGGAAACGGAAGAGATCTTTTCTGCACGCTTTGTCTGTGCGGTTGGCGAGAACGCCGAGGTCGGCAAAGATGAGGGGATTGCGCCATATAGCTTTTGGCTCCAGAATCGCTTTGACTCCTCGAGATTCGTGTCAACGATCTTTTCAATCATCAATCGCGGGGAAGGTCGAGAGATATCGGCGTGAAAGTACGCCCGTCTTAGGTCTTCGTGGAGAAGTCCAACGGACCAGCCGTCATACAGTGCGTGCGACATCGAGAGCACCATGTGCGCAGATTCCGGCGCTTTCAGAATGGTGACATAGACTGGAGGTTCAGCTAGCAAGTCTGCACTGCCCGTCACTCGGTCCATGGTGGCATCGATTGCTTTTTGCACGCAGTCTTCAGTCGGCACTCGAAGCTCCTCCCAATGACAAGAGAAATCTGCAGATGCGTGGACAACCTGGGCGTAGGCTTGACGAACATCTGAGCCTTCCGTGGAAATGAAGGATGTGCGCAGTATGTCATTGCTCTTTGTTGCAGCCGACCAGGCAGCCTCGAGACGGTTGATATCCACCCATTCCTCGAGCTTCAGAACATCATGATTGAAGTAGCGAGTATATCCCGAAGCCAGCGTCTCGGCGATCATCGCTTCCTGTAATGGTGTTGTAGGGTACACGACAGAACCGGCACCGAGGCCTGGCATCTTCCGCCTCACGGCGCGCTCAAACTCTGCAAGCGTATTCGTGCTTGCGGAAGGACCAGCTGCAGCAACATCATCAAGACTCTTGAGCATCTTCCTGATTGTTGCATTGCGCATAATGTTGCTAACGGATATCTCGATCCCTTCCTGACGGAGTCGCGAGGACAGCTTGATGGCTTCGATACTGTCGAGACCGAGCTCGAGAATAGACGAATCGGCGGAAACCTCGGACTCGGCAACTTCTGCTAGCCCGCTGATGATTTTGCGCATGACTTTTGCTTGTGCGCTCCACTCAAAAATCTCTTCCCCGGAATCTGGTCCGCTGTGACCCACATGGTCGGCGTCTTCTTGTGTTCCATTTGGAGATGGAGTAGTAGTCAATGGGTTCCGTTCAGGGTCTGCTAGTATGTTCCGAAGGTTTTCGGCAACGCTCTGCAGAAGCCCCACCACATTTTCCTGAGCCAACTCCGCTTTGGCAACTACTGTCAACTTAACTATTCCTTTGGCACTCTGGACTGCTTCCAGGGCCAGTAGATACTATCCTTTATTAGCCAAATTCACATCTCCAATCCCGAGAACGGGCACTTACATCCGCCATTGTCTTTCCCGGTACAATCTCCCAGAGCTCCTCCTCCTCCTCGTCGCTGCCAGTATCCTTCTGGTACACAAACAGCGTCTCGAACAGCGGTTCCTTAGTTCTCCTCATCCACTTCTGTATCAACCTCAACGGCGTGTGATGGTACGGCATAGATGTCGAATTGAACCTATGAATGGCGCCTATGAGAGCATTCCACGAGGTTGCACCCGCGACATCGAAAGTCGCCGGGATAGTATTGAACGTAGGCCCGATCACGCCCTCGATGTTGTCGAGCGGGAGGCTGCGGCCCGAAACCACGAGACCCAGGGTAACGGCTGGCCCGCAATATGGCGACAGCGCGGAGGCCCAGGCGGCTTGGAAGATCGACTGGGGTGTGCATTGAATCTGTCCACACAGCTTATCTAGTCCATCGGTGCCGAGATTGAGTGTCAACTCCTCTGTGTGGTCCATTGACGTCTGCTTACCCACCTTGCCTCGGAGTTGATCGAGGTCCAGTGGTTTCGAGGGCTTAACATGCTCCTTCCAGAACTCTCGAGCAGTTCCAAGATCGATGCTCAGTATATGTGCGATTACATCCGTGAACTGTGATGATCTCGGAGTGAATGTTCCGAGATACAAGCTCCGAACATCCTCCAGGATCAGCGGAAGACTGTTTCCATCGTAGAGTGCGTGGAAGATATTGAGGGAGATGACACATCTCGTGGGAGTGCGGATACACTGAATCGAGAACGGAGGCAAGTAGAGAGTCCTGTTCCGCGCAAAGCTCATCATGAGGCCGTTACTCGCCGCATCCTGGAAATCTTCCGTCTGGATGGTAGTTTCTTCCCAGTTGAGCGACGGCTGCTTGAGGACGATCTGGGCGTACCCATCGGGAGTCTCACAGAAGCAGGTCCGCAGGATATCGGTGGTCTTGACAACGGCCTTCCACGCTTCATGGAGCTTCCCCAAGTCCGTTTGCGCGCCCAGCACCATAGGAAACGAATTATAGTAAAGCGACGTCCCTGAATCCAGGAACCTCGCAATCATCCCCTCCTGGAGGGGCGTACAGGGCATGACACGTTCAATGTCCTCTGACTGCAGCTTCAGCCGCTCAGTGATGCCAAACGAATTTTTGTTCGCGAATGCAGCGATCCGTTGTTTAGTTGCCTCGAGCCTAGCGAATTCACCATCTGCCCCAGCACCACCGGCCTGAGATAGTGCACCGGCAATTTGAGAGACGGATGGATTCTGCATTATTAGCGACGGCGTGGCAGCTGCAAATCCGTTCCTTTTGAGGCGTCGAGCGAGTCCCACGACAGAGACAGAGTCTAACCCAAGCTCGAACACGGTGGATGAGCGCTTGATCTCCGATGTCTCCAATTTTGTCATCTCGGCCAGCACTGTGCGCAATCGTCGCTCCGAGTCCGTCCATGCATTGTCATTAGCATCTTCACCCCTCCGGGCAAGCTGCTGCAGCGTCTCGAGTGTGGTGTCTAGGTAGAGTGCCTTGAGGGCTTTGTTGTCTACCTTGTTGTTGATTGACAGCGGCATGTGCGACAGCGGCAGAAAGTGTGTGGGGACCATATAAGTGGGTAGCTTCTTCCTGCAGGCATCCACTAGCGTCGAGATCAAGGCGGCCCTGTCTCCGTCGTAACAGATCATTGGCTTCACAGTTGCCCCATCCTGCCCTCGTACAATAAAGAACGAAACCAGCTGATCCTTCTGCTGCTTCGGATGCTTCAGCACGAGTGTCGCCACTACCTCGACCGACTGATCCGCCTTCTTGACGACCTCATTGATCTCCCCAATCTCCAATCTCTGGCCTCTCAGCTTCACCTGATCATCTTTCCTCCCCTGAAAATCGAAGCAGCCATCATGCAGAATCCGCACCAAGTCTCCAGTGCGGTATATCTTCTCGCCACCGAGCATCGGGAAGGCCTTCTCTGTGAGCTCCGGGCAGTTGAGGTAGCCGCGGCCGACGAGTTTGCCGGATGCACACAGCTCACCGACGGCACCGCGGGGTACAGGAGTAAATGTGCCTGGCTGGAGGACATATGTGCCGACGTTGTCGAACTGCGGACCGATGTTGGAGGGCTTGCCATTCGCCGGGACGCGAGGGTACATGGTCATTCCGATTGTTACTTCCGTGGGGCCGTAGCTGCATCGATTCCGTCAATAAATATCTCTCGCAGGACACTTAAGAGGGGGAGAGAGATACATACCCATTGTAAATCACGCCAGTCTCACCCCACACATCCAGAATATCCTGCTTCAACGCCTCACCCCCAGTGATAAACACGCCCCTACAGAGCTCCGGACACTCCTCCGGCCTGAGCAGCCCCGCCAGACTGGGGGTCAAATCCAAATGCGTAATCCGCAACCTCTTTATCGTCCCCGGTAGATCCTGAAAGATCACATCTCTTGGCGCCGATACCACACATATCCCCACGCTCCAGCTCCAGAACTGCTCCAGCACACTCACGTCGAAATGGAAGCTTGCAAACTGTAGCCATCGCGAAGAGCTGTCCCAATGTGGTGTGAAGAGACGCTGAAAGGCGTACATAGCCTGTACCGCGTTTGTGTGTGTGAGGAGACAGCCCTTGGGAAGGCCCGTCGTGCCGGAGGTGTAAAGGCAGTAACATAAGCTCTCCCCAGTGACCTCGGAAACCAAGGGAGCGGAAGAAGATATCGCCGCTATGCGGGAATCACTATCGGCAGAGACAACTGGAACCCCCATGGCATTTTGTAGCTCGGAGCGGTAGATGTCCAGGGTGAATACCGCCGCCGCGTTCGAGTCCTTCACTATGTACGCCTTCCGATCTATTGGAGCAGTAGGGTCTATGGCGACATACGCACAACCCGCTTTCAAGATTCCCAGGATTGCGAATGACGCCGCAGGAGACTTGTCGAAGCAGATTCCGATGATGGATCCTGCAGCTATGCCCATGGAGACGATGAGGTTGGCAATTTTATTCCCTTGACAGTCGAACTCGCTGTATGTCCATGTTTGCTTTGCGATGGAGGAGTCGTCGATTGAGGTTACGAATTCCAGTGCTGGATCGTTAGGATGGTCGGATGCCCAGCGCTGGACAAAGTCATGGAGGAGTGATACCTCACCCGGGATTTCCGCAACCTTGGCGGGGGTGATGGAAAGCAACTCGGTCGACATGTACGAATGATCCGTAGATGAGCCTTCAGGATTTCTCAGAAGATCCAACAGTACCTCTTCAAACTGCCTTATCAACAACTTTGTTTGTTGCATCGGGATATGTGAATCCCTTGCAGTCGCCCGTATGAGCAAGTGGTCCTCCTTCAACTTCGGCTCGATCTCAAGGGAAAAAGTATAATCCACCGCCGCATCCTCGGCGACAACTTCCCATGGCAACTCATTCTCATCCTCCTCGGTCTTTTGGTACACAAAGATGGAGTCGAAGAAGCTCTCCTCTGGGTGCTCAAGCCATCGCTGTAGCGATTTGAGCGGGGCGTATTGATGCTTCAGTGACCGCATGTTGAACGCCTGAATTTCGCGTGCTAGTTGGAGGTTGCTCTTGTCTTGCAGGTTGCAGAGTGATGGGATTGTGACCAGGCAAGGGAAGACGGCGCCATCAGCGGACAGACCGGTACGGCCAGAGAGAACCACGCCGACCGTGGGTGCGGCTTCGCCGGTGTAGGCGGATAGTACCCGTGCCCATGCTGCTTGCCCGGCGGAGTGAAGCGTTATGCCGAGAGTCTGGCAGGTAGCCTCGAGGGAGGATAATTTCGTGGAAATGGAAAGTTCTCTGATGTGATAGGTTGTAGCCGTGTTCCGAAGGGGGCATAGATTGGGAAGACGGGTAATACTGCTCCCCTCTAGTTGTTTCTGCCAGAAAATGCGATCCTTTTCGACTGTCGATGGGTCAAGGGAATGGGCGAGTATAGTTTCCAGGGTGGGAAGGAAATGTAGATTCTCAGACACCTCGCTGCCATTGTAGCCTGCTGATACATTCCCGAATATGATCTGAAGGGAGGTTGCATCATAAAGCGCATGGTGGCCCGAGAAAAGGAGGTAGCTTCCGGCCGAGACCGAATTGAAGAATAGCAACTGCCAGGGTGGAAGTTGAAGGCTCTTCACCACCGCTTCTCCGGCAGCCTTCTTCTCCTTCTCAACGAAGACATGCACATCAGCCACGCTCTCGACGCTATGCCACGGCAACTCAATGCTCCCTCGTTGGTACGTAACGGCAGCAAAGGTATGCACATCATCATCGACCTCCACAAACCCAGAACGGAGGATATCGCAAGCCATGAAAACCGAGTTCCAAGCAGCCCTGAGCTTTTTCTCATCGCAGTCGATGGGGAGCTTCATCAGGGTATGGTTGAAGTATAGCTCGCCATGTGACCTAAGGAATTGCGAGAGCATGCCCTCCTGCACTGCTGTGCATGGAAAGACGCCGGCTACGGTAGCAGTATCGAGACTTCGTTCGGCTAAGATAATCGGTAGGAATTTGCTCTGGAAATCATGAACGAGGCCGGATTTCTTATTGATTTCGGTTTCTCCAGTCTTATCCAAGACCACATCGGCCAGTAGCTCAATCGAAGGACGCTATCACACTCGCATCAGCAAAACCCCCCCCTCATACTCCCACCGGGAAACCAACCTCCAGAATATCCAACACTTCAACCTTCAAACCCGCCCTCGCAAGTCCCCTCGCAACCTGCGCGGTGCTGATGCTATCCAGGCCGATTTCATATATCGTCGTGGCCTTACCGATCTGCTCCTCGGGTACCTTAGAGATGTGTGCCAACACCATCCGGATCTTCAATTCCTTCTCCGACCAAACCTCACTCTCCCGATCATGCGAGTGCGAAAACGCTGCGATGTCTTGCGCATGAAACAGCTCCCCCAGCGCTCGCTTATCGATCTTCCCCGCGGCCGAGAGCGGGATGTGGGCGACGACCAGGATGACGGTGGGGATCATGTAGCGGGGCAGCATCGACTGCGCGTACTTCCGTACCTCAGCGACCAGCTCTTCGCAGGCCGCCTGCACCACCGGCGGGGCGCTGCCGTGCTGCTTCCTCCCGCCCATCGCAAGAAACGCTACCAACTGCTCCTTGCCCTCCGCACCGTGCCTCAGCACGAGCGTAGCAACATCCTTGACGCTCTCGTGGCGGCCCAAGACCGCATTGATCTCGTCCAGCTCCACACGGAGCCCGCGGATCTTAATTTGATCGTCCGCGCGGCCGATAAACTCGAAAGTGCCGTCGGCAAGCTGGCGGACGATGTCTCCGGTGCGGTAGAGTGTCTCTCCGCGGAAGTTGATAAACCGAGTGCTAGTGAGCGAGGGATTGTTGTGATACTCCCTAGCAACCTGGGGGCCGCCTATACAGAGCTCGCCGCTGCCAAAGAGCGGGATCGTCCCCGTTCCGCTACGGTGTAGAACTACGAACATCGTTGTCTCGAACGGTCGCCCAATATTGCTCGCTTTGATTTTGCGCGACACCGGGGTTATGGTACAGCACATCGCCGCCTCGGTGGGGCCATACGAGTTGACGCAGCGGCCTTCCCACTCATCCGCCAATTTCTGGGGCATGGCTTCGCCGATGCAGTAGAGAAGCTCCACATCGGGGAGATCACCCGCGGAAAGCGTGCACGCCACCGTCGGTGTCAAATCCAACATCGTTATCTGCAGTCGCTGTATGGTCGCCGCTAACTCGCCAAGAAGATACTTTGGTGCTGCAGAGCACAGCGTGAACCCGTAGCTCCACGCCATGAAAATGTCGTAGTAGCACATATCGAATGTTGTGGCGGCGAACTGGAGCAGCCGTGATGAGGGCTCCCAGCGGATGAGATGCTTTGAGGCGAGGAATGTCTGAACTGCATTATGGTGTTCGATTGAGACGGCTTTTGGCAAGCCGGTTGAGCCGGAGGTGTAGATTCGGTAGGCAAGGGAACGGGGCGTCAAATCCGGTATGACGGGATTGGAAGTGCCAATAGAGGCATCGTAGCTGGATAGAAGCTGTTCAACATCGACGATCTGGACGCCCACGAGATCGTTGGCCACACCAAGGACGATTCTCGCCTGCAGTTCGGTAATCATGAACTCCCGCCTCTTCACCGGCAAACTGTGGTCAATAGGGGTAAACGCACAGCCTGCTTTCAGCACAGCCAAAACACAGATGTAGTACAAAGGGGATTTGGGAATGCTTAGCGGAATTGCTTCCTCTCGGGAAACGTCGAGTGAAAGAATGTGGTTCGCAATGAAATTTGCCCGATCGTTGAGTTGCCCGAACGTAAGGCTAGTGAGGGAACCACCATCTTCTAGATATTGCAGTGCAATGCGATCCGGCTGCTCTTGGGCGTTACGCTCAAATTCCGAATGGAGCAGACCACCTCCTGCTGACTGGAGAACATTCGGTCGAAGGTTTGCTTGCGAGATAATGGAGGCAGGAAGGAACGAAAAGTCCAGTGCCTTGCTCTCCGCATTGTCCAGGGCGGATATCATGGTCTGATCAAATTGCTGTAGTAGTACGTCGATATGTTCGTCGAGTATCATATCGCTCCCTGTGTCAGTACCGCCTCATTCAGCAGAGGGCCGGGTTCGAACATACCGGCGGTAGTGCATGATAATCTCCAACTCATTCTTCGCCGGACTGGGCGCCAACTCGGCCACGATGGAAAAATCCATCTTCCCCCTCTCCTCGACCACTTCCCACATGTCCGCAATGCTCTCCCGCCCCCGCTGCAGAATAAACAGCGTATCAAACAACCGTCCCCCCTCCGTTCCCAGGGCGTTCATGATCCTTCTCAACGGTGTCAATTGGAACGCCATGGAATTCGCATTCCCATCCTGTAGCTCCATCATAACCTCTCTCGTAGTGGCGCCTCCAGTGACCTGCACTCTCACCGGCACCGTATTGAAGCACGGAGCGACAATCGATTCGACGCCATCCACGGGGATCGTGCGACCGCTGACCACAGTGCCGAAGCAGATATCTGCGTCACCAGTGTACGCCGCGAGCAAGCGCGCCCATGTGCTTTGACCCAGGGATAGCAAGGAGGCGGAGAAGCCTCTGCAAGCACTGTTGATCGTCGCCAAATCCCGGGAACACGAAACCCGCCGCGATGCCATCCCCTCGAGCTGTTTCCGCGCAGAATTGGACGCGCCAGTCAGGTCCGGAAACGAACTGGGCAGCAGGCCCGACAGCTGTTTCTTCCAGAATTCGTCTGCGCGGAGGAGATCCAAGCTCTCCATGTATTGCAGATATGAGTCGAAGGGTGCCCTCACGGGCAGTTCTGCCCTAGCGTAAGCGCGCTGAACGTCCTCTAGCAATAGTTCCATCGCGAAGCCATCATAGAGTGAGTGGTGAAATGACATCACCAGCGTGGATTTGGTAGGAGATTTGAACACGCCAAACGTATATGGCGGCCTTGTGAGATCCAGCGACTCTCCCACGGCAGAAATATGGTCTTCGATCGCGATCGCAACATCATCATCCGAGGAATAACTGCGTTCCGACCACGCAACTGGGTGCTCCCTGACCACAATCTGCGCGAATGCATGTTTGTGGTGAATCGTCAGTGCAAAGCAAGTCCTTAGTATCTCGTGTGCTTCCGCCACAATGTTCCACGCCTCCTCCAATCTCCTCGGATCGGCGTTTAGGCTCAGAACGGTGTGGTTATAGTAGTCTCGTGGATCCGCGTCCTTCTTGATACTCAGTGTTGATTCCTGCAGTGGAGTGCAAGGGAGGATTTTGACGATCTGGTCTGTAGGATAGGACAGCTGGCCCAGCACCTCTTCTCGTACCGAAGTGGAGAATTCCTCTAGAGCCGCGGCGCCCGAGTGCTCACTATTGGGGACATCGCGCCGTCCCTGCTCTTGTCCCAGGACCCTCGCCAACGCAGAAACGGTGTGGTTCATCATGATCTTGGTGACATCCAGTCGTTCGAACCCGGCACTTTGAAATTTTCTGGACAAAGTTATCGCAGAGATCGAATCCAGCCCCAGAGTGAATATTGAGGTATGCCGGCCGACGGTGTTGATCTCCGCATGGGAGACCTGGGCAATGATGTCCGCAATAGCGCGTTCAGCTTCGGTCCAATCACCCGTGGCATCACCGCCACTGGCCGAAAACGTATCCAGCAGCGCCCCATCCAGCTCCATAAACGTTCGCTCAAGAAGCTTCTTGTCCGTCTTCCCCTGAACCGTCATAGGGATTGTCGACACCGATACAATGGCGGTAGGAACCATGTACGCGGGCACAAACGCCACGAGGCGCTGAAAGAGCGTCGTGATGGTACCTTTAACCTTGTCGCCGCCCACAACCTCAAACTCAGTCCTCTTGTGTTCATCCGGCACAACAAACGCCACCAGCATTGGCCCGCCATCCTTCGCGACCACTAATGTGACCGCATCACTTATCGCATCCGTATCCCTAAGGAGCACCGAATTGATCTCCCCCAACTCGATCCTATTCCCGCGAATCTTGACTTGATCATCCTTTCTAGCCACAAACACGATCTCGTCGCTTGATAGCAACCTTCCCATATCGCCGCTGCGATAAACCCTCCCAAACTCCGGATGGGTGACGAACTTCGCCACGGTGAGCTCCTCCATCTTGAGGTATCCACGACACACCTGTTCACCGCCGAATGCGAGTTCTCCCACTGCCCCGCGGGGAAGCAACAGAAGATCTTCCTGGTCCGCGGCAACGACGAAGGTGGAAGTGTTAACGAACGGAGGGCCAATGTTGGAGATGTCGTGGGTCCTCTGAACCCGCGGGTTGGCAGTGCAGACGTTCGTTGTTTCGCTTGGTCCGTAACCCTGGTACAGGCCGCGGCCGGCCCACTCGTAGAACACCTTTTTCGTCACCGCCTCGCCCGATGTAACCAAAAACTCGACACTCGGGACATTATCTGGCTTCAGGAGTGCGGCAACGGTGGGTGTCATGGAGAGGTGGGTCACTTGCATAGCGTTCACGGCGGTCTCCATGTCACGCAACAACACGTCCTTGGTCGCGGAGCAAAGCACCATTCCCCTGTGCCATGCGAAGAATATCTCGAAGACGGAAACATCGAAGGCGATATTGCAGAATTGGAGCATGCGCTTACCGACTGCTGTGGGGTAAATTTCCGCGAGCACGTCGAGGTTGCTGACCGCTTGCTCGTGTTCCACAAGCACTCCCTTGGGTACTCCAGTGCTGCCGGAGGTAAAGACTGCGTACGCTAGGGTCTTCGAGGATGTCTCGATCCCTAAGTTCTCGGAACTGTGGGCTGATAGGTTCAAGGTATCGATATCAACCATATTTAATCCTTCCATCGGCCCAAGCCTCTCGATAACATCCCTGGTCGCCAGAAGGATCTTCGTCTCTGCATTTTTTAAAATCTGCCTGACGCGCTCCACTGGCGTCTCTGGCGTCAATGGAAGGTACCCAGCCCCAGCTTTCACCGTTGCCAGGATCGAAAAATAGCAGTTGATAGATTTCTCCATACAGATCGCTACAAGTTCATCCGGCAGGGTCCCCCGAAGAACCAATTCTCGCGCAAGTTTATTTGCAGCCGAGTTGAGTTCAGAGTAGGTCAACGTCTTTGTTGTTGCCCGGCCGTCAAGAATATCGGATACCATCTCGAGTGCAAGAGCTGAGGAGTGGCGTGCGGTGGATTCTTCAAACATTGTGCTGAGTGTCCGCGTCGAGGGCTGCGGGGTTAAGGTTGGGTAAGGATTGGCGATGGAGAGAACTCGGCCATTGAGCGGTAGGTCTGCGATAAGAGCCTTCACTGATCGGTCTGGGTGCGTAACCATGCCGCGGATGAAGCAGTCCATTTGCTGTAGCAATAATGAAACCTGCTCAGCCGGGAAGATCTCGTCCTTGTATGTAGCCCGAAGCAGGATATTATTATCGGTAGGCTCAACTTCAATCAACAACGAAAACTGTATCATTACCGGTCAGCAATCATTCCTGGACCTAAGAAAGACCACCAAGCCTACCTCGAGTTTATCCTTACTCTCAACCATCCTCAATCCGCCCCCCTGCCGCTCTGTTGCATTTTGCTGCCAGGCGATCAAAGAATCAAACCATCCATCAGATCCACACACCTTCCTCACCTCCCTGAGGCCCAGTTCCGGATGCTCCATGACACCCACATTGAACTCCTGGACCTCCCGCAGTAGTGTTCGCACATCCTTCCGGAGCGTAGTATTAACTCTAATAGGAAGTGTAAGTATCGTCGGCCCGATGATGTCCTCAATCCCGTCGACGGGGATGGTCCTGCCCGAGGTCACGGTACCAAAAACGACGTCTTCATTGCCGACGTAAGAGCTCAGGATACATGCCCAGGCGCTTTGGACAAAGGCTTGTGCCGAGACACCAGTGCTTCTAGCCGAGTGTTCAAGTTGTGAGAGAGAGACAGTAGAATTCAACCCTTGAACTGAGACGCCGGGTTGGACAGAAGAGTGGCCATGGAAGCTGGGCAATCTTGTCTCGCTAGCGCCATCGAGTTTGGACTTCCAGAACTGTTGAGCTAACCGAATAGATTCATCGGAGCGGGATAATTCCCAGTCGACGACATTTCGGTACTGCGGTCTAGGGCCCGGTGCTAGTTGCTGGCCCGCCAGAAGTCGCTGGAAATCAGACATGATGTGATCCCAAGACCACCCATCGTACAGCGCATGATGGATTCGGATGCCCAGCTTCTTATCTCCATTCGCGCCGATCATCAAGGCAGCCGAGAAGGGCGGCTCCAATAAGTCGCCGAGCGATACCTCCCAATTCAACTCCATGGCATCTGCCAATCCGAACTGACCCTTCCGCGCCGTTTTCCAAACCACCTGGGCAAATCCACCGTTAATGCCAACAAACCCCGTCCGCAGGATCTCATGCCGCTCGACTATGGCCCTAAACGCCGCCTCGACGACAACCGCTGGCGTGGTAAACAGCAGCTCAAGGAGTATCCAGTTGCAGTATGCACTTGCATTCTTTGCTGTCTCCGCGATCATCGACTCCTGCAATGACGTGCACGGGATTATATCCTCGACGTCGTCCCGCAGAGAAATCGGTACCTCAATGAGACCGGCTTCGTGGACGGCGCCGTAACGCTCACTGCGGACGGAAGAGTCCGAGCCACTAAGAGGAACAGCTCTGGAGGCGATACCCGTAACTGTATCCAGTTTCACAATGTCCACTACTTCTACCCCGAGCCCGGAAGCCCGAAGACGCGAGGCGAGACGGATTGCTTGCATTGAGTCGAGGCCTAGGGACACTAGACTATCTTCTCTTCGAGGACGTCGGCCCAGTAGCATCTCCACGGTGCGAGCAACGGCTTCCTCTGGCGCGCTCAAGGACTCCTCCCCTTCATCATTCAAATTTTTAGAGCTTCGCTCAGAGTACTCTTTGTCCAATCGTTTCCGGTCGACCTTTCCACTCGGCAGCCTCGGCAAGTGCTCGTAGATGACCACATCGGAAGGAATCATGAATCCCGGCAGCCACTGACGGCAGACCTGCTTGACCGCCATTTTATCCGCGCCTTCACCTGGCGCAGAAACATACACCACCAAACTTCCATCAACAACCGATGCAATAGCCATTTGTATGTCTGGCGACTTCAGAATCACCTCCTCGACCTCGCCCAGCTCCACCCGTTGGCCACGAAGCTTCACCTGACCCTCCGAGATCCGGCCCAAACATTCGATCCTGCCGGACGGCAGGATTCTAGCGCGATCGCCAGTCCGGTACAACCTGCCCCACCTGGAGCAATTCACAAACGCCGCACTCGTGAGATCCGGGCGGTTAAGGTAACCATCCGCGAGCTGCCACCCCCCAACCGCCAGCTCGCCCATCCATCCCAGCGGCAAGACCTCGACGTCCTCAGTCTCAGCGGCCAAGACAAACGCCGACACCGTATCCAACGGCACACCGATATCACCGATCTTCGACGTAGTGGCAAAATCGGTGGCAACGGTGCAGTGGATTGCGGCTTCGGTAGGCCCGTACATTCCGTGCAGCACTCCGCCGCCGAATGAGGATATCACCGGGCGTGTGAGCATCTCGCCGATGGTCAGGAGGACTTTCAGCCCCGGAACGGCGGCGCGGTTGATCAGGAGGCCGCCGGCAACGGTGGGCGTGAGCTCGGCTGCGTCGACGGCGAGGGAGTTTATGGCTGCCGGGAGATCGGCGAGTAGGCGGGCACGATCGCAGCCGATAAGAGTGCAGCCGCGGAACAATGGAAAGAAGGTATCGAATACTGAGACATCGAAGGTTGGGGCTGCGAACTGGAGGAAGCGCTGGAAGGGTGGGATATGGCGATCGTGCGCGAGAAGGCTTTGGGAAGCGGCGGCGTGTGATATCGTGACGCCTTTGGGTTTGCCAGTCGAGCCGGAAGTGTACATGATATATGCCGCGTCTGTGGGAGATACCGTCGCCGGTGAGAAAACCGGGACATTTTCGTTGGAAGATTCCAGCGAGCCATCGTCCGTGATGATCAACTCAGGCATCCCCGGCCCGTCAAACATCCCGCCCAAGTCCGCGGTCGTAATAATGGCACCCGCTCCAACGTCGCCGACCACGAATCGTATTCTCTCTTCCGGCGCATCCAGATGCAGCGGCACGAATGCTGCACCAGCTTTCAATATCGCGAGGAGCGCTACATAGAGCTCTGGTGATTGTGGCAGTAATACCGGCACTGTCTTTCGCCCGGTTGATCTCTCGAGGACATCAGCTATCCTTCGTGCGAGCCCATCCGATAGAGAATGAAGCCGCTCATACGACAACTTCGTCTTCGTCCCATCCGCGTTAAGAAACTCGATCGCGTTGCCCCCATCTAGTCCACAATGCTCGTGCTGTATCAAGTCATGCAACAAGCTGGGACCGTCGAGTTGGACGGGATGGGTGTTTAGGGCCGACAACGGCGGACAGTCGTCTGGAGAAACCCCACAGTTCACATACGGAACTTGGATGGGCTCCGTAGGAAATGGCGGTACTCGCTGATTAGGTCCCGTTGGGACGCAGGTTACTATGTGATAGAATTGGCTCACGATGTTCCGGAGGTGTTTCTGAGGGACCGCGTCCTCGCTTGCGGCTAGATACGCTTTTTTGCCTTCAATATCCACCTGTAGGAACAGTTGAATGGGTCTCGGCGGTGTCTTCAAGCGCAACACGGCTATCAGTAAAGCTATCGCTTCGTGCAAACGACTCAACATAGCAATCGTACCTTATCCGAGGTGAAACATATCTCCGTCATTTTTTCTCCTCTGCTTTCGGCATGCTCTCCGTTGGCGTACTCTTCCACTCTATCTTTGTCGAAGTCTACGCCCACCACACCGCCATCGTCGAGCCCGAACACGACATTATCTGATCGTGTGTATCCACGCAGTAAGATCGCCCACGCCAGTATCACGGTCTCCCTTGTTACGACGACGGATGCCGGCAGCTCAAAGCTGCACTCCGAGAGACCGGTCAGATGTGTGCGATCCACGATATGGTGAAGGTTGGGAAATGCTGTGTAGCGCCACAACGTTGAATCGAGGTAGCTGGAGTCCGCCATGGTGATTGTGTATGGGATAATCGATATCTTTTTGAACAGATGCTCCGAGCGGATCAGCTCTGGGGATATGTGAATCGCCGGTCGTTCCGAGAAGTTTGCTGTGCCGGTTAAGCAGAGTGAATGCGGACCTTTCCAGTGTCGAGGTATGTATGCAAACAGTGGGTGGAGGAAAACCTAATACGGAGTCGAAATACAGCAGAGCTTTGAATGGCGATGTCTGTTGCAGTCAAGTACTAGTACACACACACTCAGATGCAGCCCTTTCAAAACTTTGCAAACGGGTGAGAACGTAGAAAGAAGTAGGGTCGCCGTCAAACTACGAAGTTTTCGCCAAGGTACATTGTAGCACCTGTGCTGCTGATCTCTTGATGTGGAGAAGGAGGGAGAGAGAGAGCGTGGGAAATGCAAATGCGTATGGCTGCTTCTTTAAGGTGAGTCTCGTCTCGTCTCGATGTGATTCTGCATGCTATTACGCGAGCGCCAGATCGAATAGGTAACGGCGCTGTAGGGTTTAGTAGCGGAGAGACCCCCACCACTAGACCGCCGCAAAGGGAAGGAAAGCCCCTCCTTTTTGCGACGTTCTGGACTGTGGAGTCGGAGGTGGTGATCCTTGTTGTGTGCTGCTGCATCCATCCCCGCCATGTGCAGACAAAAGATTCTCCAGGGACGCGTACATAGACACGGGCATCGAGAGTTGCGGTGAAGTCATGACGTCCGTCCGTCCGTCCGTCCGTTCGATTGATTTCTGACGGGGAGGAGAGGGATTGCGGAATTGGATTACATAGAACCGAAACCCGGTCCAGTGTGATGTATCGTACATAGAAGGGCGAGCGGAATTTCTTGCCGATGCGCGCATGAGAGATGAGGTTGTCGATGCCAGGGGCACGCCAGTGCCGATGCCATGCATGATTGATCCGATTAGACAAGGCGCATCTGATAAGCACGCCAGTTTACGTTATGCAACTGCCAACACTTCCCTGATTGAGGATATGCGGACGGCAATGACCGTAATCACGTGTTGTCACGCAATGTGATTGAAAAGCAATAGTCACGACGGCAATATTTCTGCCGAGCGTGGCTGGTGGCAGTAGCTGCTGCCGGTGGCGGTGATCAGATGGCGGCGGCGGTGCGGCTGATGGCGTGGCTAAGTGTCCGCCCTGTCCGGCGACAGGCCGTTCATTCTCTAAGCTACCGGTACTTCGTTTCCTCCAGTCTCCACCACTTTTGGAAAATGATATGGAATGAGATCGAATGGAAGCTGAGAAGCGGGAGACTCCGGTTCTGTTGTTAGAGCACGGATTACATGGGGGAAACACTCGCAATCCATCCCGCTATAATACAAAGCCATATTGTTATCGTCCTGACGTTCTACCAGAGTGGTAGGTAGATGCCCAGTTCAACCTTATTCCTGTAGGCGGTGTGCCGTACAATGTCATGACGGCCAACTTCCAAGCCTCTGCAACTTTGCGCGATACCTTAGTTACCGTCAGGCCTCAAGCGTTACGGTGAATGGGCATTCCTAGGTGAGTCTGAGAAGGCATCTTGTTGTCTCGCACTCGCCGTGTCGTGCCTTGGCAGTTCGTTGAGCTATTCGTGCTTAGATAATCCGAGGTGAGTAGTAATACCACGTGACCAGCGAAGTGATCCGGTGCGAGACACCACATTTTCGAATTTCTTGTTTTCTACTGTAATTCGATCCGATTTTCGTCTGGAGAGGAAGGAACGGATTCTCTTCTTCCAATCCGTTATCAGTTTAACTACCGGTATGCATACAGATACCTACCGAAACTGCGAGACCGCCGCCACAGCCTCAGACAGCTCGCACCTCCTCCGTGATCACCTCGAAACCAAACATCCCGCCGTCAGCGCGCATCGCTCAACCCCACCTTCTTCTCAAGGCCCTGAACCTAAGCTTTCGCGAAGAAAACAGCCCCCCGTGGGATCTGATCTTCATCCGATCTCCCCGTGTTCTGTCGCAAAGGAAAAAAACCCCGTCAGGCCAATCATAGAGCTCCCATTACACATCCTCGTGCCTGGAGCTCAGGGCTTAGTGCTGTATATTTCTTTTTGCCGCGTGCGGGCGTCAACCCGCGGTAACTGACCGCATGTCGTGCATCTGCTCAACCCCATCTCCTCGTATCGATAGTTTCGTAGAGCTGTGGCAATTGACAATTAGTTATCCCGAACTACGTAAATGGACGAGGACGATACGGAGCAGTGTTTGGCAATCGCTGTGATGTGATTGAAGGATTCGAGGGAGTTGTGGATGGCCAGTCGTTGTTCGAGGTATGTAAACATGCAGGGACATCCGGGCTCGATCGACGCTTGCGGCTGGCTCATGTAAGGCGAAGTGATGACGACCGTGATTATGCACAAGCTGGCGGTTTGCTTGTGATTACGGCATTTGCGGTGACAACGGCGAGGAACGTATTCGACAGAGCATTCGAGTATCGGAGTATGTACCTATGATACCGAGTGCTGCCGACATCACAAAGCTTCGAAGCCGACACGTACATACGTGGCGACGCCCGCGCCCGCGCCCGCAAGCAAACGAGCAGGCAAACGCTCTGCTTTGCTTCTGGTATAAGATACCTGCCTTTCGTCCTATATCCACGGTCCCTGACGATAGCCTTAACCACTGAACCAGGTCCTTGCTTCCCGCCGACAGAAATAGACACCAAGGCGGACTCTAGGCACAGGGAAATGGAGCCCGCCTATGCCCCCCGGGGTCCCGGACCTCGATCTGCAGATGCGGAAGTGTCCAACGTCGTGTGATGTATGACAACAACAACCGCAACGAAGAAGGCAAGCCCAAATGCATCTTCACTCCTCAGCACCCCCCCAACCTCCTCCCAACCTCCAACTCTACCATGTAGGTTCCCGAAGCCCCATCCCCCCCCCAAACACGGAAGACAATTACATTTCGCTAACGCCCATCCAGACATGTGCGTACTGGATGCGTCACTGCTCCTCCTCCGCCTTTGGGTTCAACCACCTTAGAATTTTCGATTCTTGCTTTGCTTGGAAATGGCCGGCCTTTGATTGGTCTCCCAGCAAGGTTCGCATCGTGGGCACGGACGTGACATGAGGGGTGCTTTATCTTGCTTGTGATGTGGGGTTTCCAGAAGGCCGTCTCTTGAACAGAGGCAGAGCGGAATTCCCTTATTAATAGCGAGTACATACGAGCGAGGAGGACGTATTTTATTTTTCTTCTTTTCCTCCGCCAGAGCAGAAGAAAGCGAAGTACCTCATCTCACAATTCCCGCGAACATGACGGTTCCAAATATCGCACATCATGGCGGCAGCGGTCGAGCTGCTCACGAAGCCCCGAATGGAGGAGTGTCGAACGGCGACGGCGAAGACGTGTACGACCTGATATGCGTCGGCTTCGGCCCGGCCTCACTAGCGATAGCGGTGGCCCTGTATGATCGGGAGCTGCCCGTACGGGTCCTCTTCCTCGAGCGGCAGCCGTTGTTCGCATGGCACAGCGGAATGCTCCTCCCGGGCACGCGGATGCAGATCTCGTTCATGAAGGACCTCGCCACTCTGCGGAATCCCCGGTCGGAGTTTACATTCCTCAACTACCTCCACCGCAAGAAGCGCCTGGTGAGCTTTACCAACCTGGGCACCTTCCTCCCGCTACGCGAGGAGTACAACGACTACATGTCCTGGGCGGCCAGCCACTTCACCGACTGCGTCCGCTACAGCACCGACGTGCTCTCTGTCTCCGCGGTCGCCTCCCCCGGGCCCGTGCGGTCCTGGTCTATCCTGACCACGCACCTCACCACCGGCCTTCCGCACACCTTCCGCACACGCAACGTTGTACTCGCCGTCGGCGGCCGCCCCAAATACCCCAGCACCATCGCGCCCTCCCTCCCGCACCCGCGCCTCCTGCACTCATCGCACTACTCCACCACGATCCGCACGCTCCTCCCGTCGCCAGACGGGCAGTACCGCGTCGCCGTCGTTGGCGGGGGCCAATCCGCGGCCGAGATCTTCCACGACCTGCAGACGCGGTACCCCAGCGCGCGGACATCCCTCTTCATCCGGGCGCACGCTTTGAAGCCCAGCGACGACTCCCCCTTCGTCAACGAGATATTCGACCCGGAGCGGGTAGACACGGTATTCTCGCTGGCGCCGGAGGCGCGCAAGAAGGCGCTCGCAGAGGATAAGGCGACGAACTACTCTGTCGTTCGCCCTGCCCTGCTCGACGAGATGTATTCCCACCAGTACGCGCAGCGCCTGCGCGAGAGCGACGAGCGGATGTGGGCGCATCGCATACATCCGCTAAGGGAGGTCGTGGGGGTCGAGAACGTGTCGGACGCGGACGGGGATGGGGAGGGGGAGGGGGTCGTACTAAAGCTTAGGAATACGCGCACCGGAGAGTGCAGTAACTCCGAGGACGCATACGATGCCGTCATCTTTGGGACGGGGTATGAGAGGGAGACGCATCTGACTATGCTGAAGCCTGTGAAGGCCATCATGAAAGATGGGCAGTGCAGTGTGGACCGTCAATACCGCGTGGTGTTTAGGGAGGGCGCTGTGGCAAAGGACGCATGCGTGTTCCTGCAGGGGTGCTGCGAGGAGAGTCATGGTGTAAGTTCAACCCCCCCCCGGAACGGCGAGGTGAGGCAGGGTGAGGTTACGTGAGGGCTGACAATCCGCGGCGCAGTTGAGCGATAGTCTCCTCTCGATTCTGGCGGTCAGAGCTGGCGAGCTGGTTGATTGTGTTTTTGGGGCGGAGGGAGAGCCAACGAATGGTACCCAGAGACAGGCGAAGCGGAGGAGGTGATGGGCCGGCCAGCCAGGAAGATGCGGGACGTGATGGGAAAGTTATATTGTATTCCGAGAGTAGAGGTATTGGGTTGTCGCTGGAGTTTTGTGCTTTGGTTTATTTTATGAGAGAAATGTAATGATGCGTGGTTACTGCCGGGACATGATCGCCCATGATGCACATGATGCGAGACACTAGTAGTCATGACTATCACTCGCAGTAGTGTCCGAGACCATCGATTTTAAGCCGCGCAGCCATTTTTTCGGCCGGTCCCAACATGTACATACCCAAACTATCTACGGAGCCTTCATCACTGGCGGGCCTGCTATGTAATGAATGCTTACTCACGCAACCACACGCAAGATGTTCTAGCCACACATTCACTACATCAGAATAAACCAAGGACCGGACCCGATCCGGGGCGACCGTCTTTGAGAAGGCCATTACAGCCCAACGGGCTGTAGCAAAGCGCTGAAGCAACCAAACTCCCACCTCGAGTGATGATGAGGAGAAGAGACATCGTTCTTCGACCTACGAGCAGTCTTTGTCAGCCCGCAGCCCTGCACTAACCGGTAAAAGCGAAGCCTGCAAACTCCGATCAAACGTTCGCGGCGGTCTCGCGTCGGTCACCACTAGCAATCCGGACGTCGGCCGATGGTTCTGCTAGGCATCGAGGAAACCGCGAATATGTGTAGGAAGAGCATCGATCGTCATTAGCCGACAAACATACCTCCGAATCCCCCTACCATCCCATCACTCATCCCACAGTCCCTCCTGCGCCTGTTTACTCACAACGCCCATCAAGAACTCCCCCGTACCCCTCGTCCGAAACCCCACGCTCCTCCCATCCCTCGAGCCAACATACCCGCCCACGGCGGCCTGGAACTTCTTCGCGTTCTCCCGCGGAACTCGCAGCCACGCTTCGTCGCCCGAGAGGTGCAGTATGTCGATTTGTATCGCGGACCCGGTGATGCCCAGGAACTGTGTTAGCGCGCTGGTGAGGGTTGTGCGCCAGGTCAGGATGTCAGTGGAGGAGGAGGAGGTGGTGGTGTTGGAAGGGTCGGAAAGGCTGTGAAGTGTTAGTCGGGTGCGAACCCGGGCGGGGAAAGCGGAGAGGGCAGGCGGACATTTGCAGGTTGAGGTAGGTCCAGTCGTGCTCGCGGATGGTCACTTCTTCGGGTGGTGGGGGCTTCCGACGCTTCGCGGGCTGTTCGGCCGGAGGAGGGGCGTCGTGCATAGGCGCGTCTACGGACATCGCGGCGGGTTCGGACGTGCGGGAAGCGGGCGGACGGGCGGGCTGGTGGTGGATTGAGGATAATGGCTCAACGAGCGCGGCTCCGACACTTTGCTTGAACTTTGGCGTCCCTACGACAGTCTTGAGATGCAGCATCACGTGCGAGGCTTGGCCGATGCGGCTGAAAATATGCGACAACTCTGCCCAACGAGTTGGAATTGCGGCTGGCAGGAAATAGCCAGCAAGAGGAGCACTCGAGATGATGTCAAATATCGAGACGCAGCCATATACGGAAGGTGAAGACACAAATTCGGTGCAGGTGGGCCAGATAGGGTCGATCGATAGAAATGATAGAACACCACCTTTTTTTCGCCGCCCGGATGCCTGACAGGCTTGCACGCACTGGCGCTGGCGGGGAAATCTCAGAGCCCCTCCGCGAGCAACAACGCCAAATTTTCCCACACTTTTTTTTCTTCCTTAAAACGTCTCAACTCCCGCCTTTCGAACATCACTTCCCTCCAACCCCGAACCAAAGCTTCCTCGTCTCCTCTCCATTCACTTCTCTGTTTCTCCCGAGTCGTGCGTTCTGTGCTCCATCTTTTGCAGGACAATTGTTCAGCACATCGACTACACTCTCTTCCTACCTAATCCTCTAATCCTCTCCCCCCCACCCCCACCACCACCACATCACGATGGAGGCCGCAAAGATGGCGCACTCGGAGGTGCACTACTTCCAGAGGTATGTTGCCGCCCTTCCCTCGTCTTCCCGTGGGGAATGCGATGAGGATTCAATGGCTGATTCGTGCGCGCCCACAGTTACAACCACCATGGTATTCACGAGGAGATGTTGGTATGTGCTGCGCGGTCGACACCGTCAACGAACCCAACCCGATGCTGACTGCGTCTCTTTCTGCTAGAAAGATGAAGTAAGGACGAACACATACAAGAACGCCATCTACCAGAATGCGCACCTCTTCAAGGACAAGGTCGTTCTCGACGTTGGCTGCGGAACCGGTATTCTCAGCATGTATGTTTCTGCCCTCCCCTCCCTGCTCTGTCACTCGTGCCTTTGTTTCACCCATCCCACACTGCCCCCACCACACACGCGCTGCACCTGCAGAACTCCGATGATGATATATTGTTATCCCTGTCTGAAGACGATTGAACTATAAGTTCTTTCGATATTCGTTGATACCGTATTTCTGAGAATACCGCCCATTTCCGCGTTACACCGTCCAACCACACCTTGCGTGTTCATCCATTGACAGTCGTGTCATAGGTTCGCCGTCAAGGCCGGTGCTAAGCACGTTATCGGTGTCGACATGTCTACCATCATCGAGAAGGCTCGTGAGATCGTTGCCGCCAATGGCATGAGCGACAAGATCACCCTGATCCAGGGCAAGATGGAGGAGATCGTGCTCCCCGTTGACAAGGTCGACATCATCGTCTCCGAGTGGATGGGATACTTCCTTCTCTACGAGTCCATGCTCGACACCGTTCTCTGGGCTCGTGACCGCTACCTGAACCCCGGTGGCTTGATCTTCCCCGACAAGGCCCACATCTACATGGCTGCCATTGAGGACGGAGAGTACAAGGAGGAAAAGATTGGCTGTGAGTGGCCTCGCACTTTGCGGGAATGAATCTTAGCTGACATCGTGATAGTCTGGAATAATGTCTACGGCTTCGACTACACTCCCATGCAGAAGGTCGCCTTAGCAGAGCCCCTCGTCGACACTGTCGAGCTGAAGGCCGTCGTCACCAAGCCAAGCATCGCGTACTCGATCGATCTGTACACGGTCAAGGTCGAGGATCTTACCTTCTCGGTGCCGTTCACCCTCGAGGTCGAGCGCAATGACTACATCCACGCCTTCATCTCGTGGTTCGACGTCGAGTTCTCCGCCTGCCACAAGCCACTCAAGTTCTCCACCGGCCCGCACGCCAAGTACACCCACTGGAAGCAGACGGTCTTCTACATCACAGACTACTTGATCGTCAACAAGGGCGAGACCATCCAGGGCCACATCTCAAGCAAGCCCACCGATCAGAACCCCCGCGACCTTGACGTCCGAGTGGAGTACAACTTCGAGGCCACAGACCCTAAGCGGTCTCGGGGCGAGGTGCTCACGTACAAGATGTGCTAGAGAAAACATTGGGGCATTGGGGGTTTTAGTTCGGGCGCTTCCTTCCTTCATTTCTTGTTGACTTAAATACTGGAGTTAGTTGCCTGGATCTGGATTGTTATTTCTTATTTGCACTTGCCTCTGTTCTGTTTTCGTTCTGTTTTCTTGGCTTGATTTACGATGAATTGTTTGGATGGGCCGCGGAAAACTCGTACCTTTTTTTTCTACATCTTTTCATATGGGTTTTGGTTGCGTGCGTGTAAGATAGACTTCTTCTTTGCTTGTTTCAAAACCTGAGGGAAAGGGCAATGGATGCGCGGTGTGATGCGCAAGTTAGTCGCTGTTTCATATGTTGCTCGTTTCGTTCGGCCGAATGCTCAAGTGATGATCTCGAATCGACAGCAATGTCTTCCAATTATGCCTACACACTACACAACGCCTTGTCTTGGTATCCCCAAGTCTATAGACATGGCATCACCGCCTCGTCTACCTGACCTTCTTCTGCCCCGCCATCTTCGCCGCCGCGCTCACCGTCTTCTGGATGCGGCAGAACATATCTCCCGCCATGATCGCAACTGCATCCGTATTAGCCTCGCACCCCCACCCCCCATTCATAGTGTAACTCACAAATCAATCCATAAGATCCATACATCCCCCCGAGCATGTACTTCTGCTGCAGCGTCATCAGGGTGCTATGATAAAACTCCCAGCAGCAAGTAGCGGTAGTAAACGCCGCCAGCGTCGCCCACACGAGCATGTGCGCCGGCGCGCTGGGGGCGCGCTTCCCCAGCGCCCACGCCAGGTACGCGGCTACCGGGAGCTGGTAGAAGAGCTCGGCGAGACTGAAGAATTTGAACCATGGAGGTTGCAGGCGGACGAGGGGGTCGTTGAAGGTTGTGAGGTACCACGTGTGCGTGGAGGATAAAGAGGACGGGATCAGGGAGGGGGGGTAGAGGGGGAGGGAATCGAATACTACACGGGGGTCAGCTGGGGGGAAGGGGGGAGCGGCGGGGGATGGGTAGGAGGGAGCGGGGATGAGGGGGCCGCACGGATTATCGTCGGGATGTACGACAGCAGGAAGAGCGTGTAGTAGCTATCGCGCGGGCGGTGGAGGGGCGGGAGTGCGGACATGGCTGGCTGGCTGGCTGGCGAGCGGGCGGGCGTGATTGCGGGCGTGAGAGGTTGAGTGCGGGATTGAGGGATTGAGTGCGGAGTGCGGCGTGGTTGATTGATAGGTAGGTGCGCTGTGTACTGTATCCACTGTAGACCCCCGGGGGGCTTGTTGATACTTGTACTCTACTTTTTTCCCCAGGCATCAGGGTCCGGCGGCGCTAACGCGACCCTCACCGGACGGCGTTCACCGGTGCCTATACACCGGGCTCTGGGCACTGGGTAGACGTGTTCCAACTTCCTCAACTCTCCTCACCGAGTCCGAAACTACCGTATGTACTGCATATATGTAGAGTACAAACGGTGCGTGGCGTTCGTGGCGCTGAGCTGACGTGCAGCACCGAGGCCGCAGGAACGGAACGAAACAAAGAGCGTGGCCCACAGGTTTATATAGGAGGCGCGAGCGCGGGAGGTACGGTATCCATGTAGAGTAGATATGTCGGCGCCGGGCGGCGATGCACAATGCACACCTTCATGCTGAATCACACGCTCCTCCCTGTCTGTCCGCGCAGTGTCCAGTATCCACCATCCTGTCCCCCACCCCTCCTCCCTCTCACCCCTCCCCCTCCCCCCACCCCCAGCACCAGCCGTTGTCTCTTCTTCAGCTGCTGCTGGGTGCACCCTCGCACCCTCGCACCCTCGTACCCTCGTAACTACATGCCTCGTACCCTATACTTCGGAGGTCGCGATTCGTCGAGAAGCCGGAGAACGTGCTAGGTATAACTATACCTACCTAGGTAATCATGAGATAACTAGGAAAAGGCTTGCCATTTCAGCCATTGACTGGCTTCACCAAGATACACTCGGCTCACGGCTATGGCTACGGTAGATAAGACCTTGGACAACTACATGCCCCACCCAACCCATCGCGAATCGCGAATCGCAGTCGGAAATTCGGAATTCCTCCCCTCGAATCGGACGTGTGCTTTTGCTTGCTTACTCCCGTGCTTCTAGAGCACCTACATACACGTGTGAGACCTTCAGGCTTCGGCGAATGGCCGAGCACATCTGCAAGCCAGCCGTACGCAAGCCAGCCGTAAGCAAGCCAGCCGAAAAGAAAAGAAAGCAAGAAAACAAAGAAACATCACCAACCGCCATTCACAACCCAGGTTCCGTTTTGCAAACTGATCGGATTCGAGCTGAGATCTGCCATGCCAGCCAGCCAGCCGGCCTCCAGGCCGCGTTGGCATATCTATACTATACTACCTATACTACGGTATACCTATAGGTGCGCCCTGTGGTATGGATAACATGAGATACCAGGTAAGTGCCGGGTACATGATACATGATACATGATACGACCGACAGACCAAAGGACCGACCAACAATCATTTTTTGGCTGGACCCTGGGGAGAGGATTATTATGGGACTATGATATTGGGTAGGTATATCCTCCAGCCCGTCCCATCCGTCCCGTCTCGTCCGTCTCGTCCCTTCCGCCATGAACTCCAGCGAGTTCATCACAGAAGACGAAGAAGATGCCATTCCTAACCTCCCCCGCCTGTGTCGCTGCCCCGCCATCACCCCCGCACTCTTACTCCAGCCGCCTTAGCCGCTCCTTCAGCTTCAGTCTCAAGATCAGCTTCACGCTCAAGCCCAAGTCAGCGGCATCCTCACGGCCAGCAACGGCGGCGGGGGTGGCGGGGGTGGTGGTAGTGCAGCCCGCTATTCCCACCGCCGTGCTGTCCATAATCGCCGGGCACCTTAGGAACAGCCACGCGTGCGAGACCTGCTATCTGCGAGACCTGGCGGCCGCGGCGGCGACGTGTAGAGGCTGGCGGGACGGGCTGGTTCCGGTCATGTCCGTATCTCTATCCGCACTATCAACTAGTAGTTACCTATGGGTGTTAACGGCCGTAAAGATACCGCGACATCGTCGTCGCCGCCTCCGCGGCCCCCTCGCCCTCTAGCTCCCCGCCCAAGCGCAAGAGCCGTAAACCCGGCACCCTCGGCACCCCCTTGCCCTCACAACTAAACCTCCTGCACCGCACACTAAGAGCGCGGCGCGACCTCGCAGGGCTGGTACAATCCCTCACGCTGCCCCCACATGCGCGGGAGAGCGACATCGCGGGGCTCATCATGCTGTGCCCGAACCTGCGACGGCTGGGGAGCCCCTCGCCCTCATTCGCGCTTGGCCGCTCGAGTCTCGTGCACGCGGCGCTCGCCACACAGACGGGCATGGAAGAGCAGCTGTGGTACATCACTGACACTTTGGGCGGCGGTGGCGGGCCAACCGAGCACTGGAGCGCCCTGCGCTCGCTCGTGCTGCTCGGCCGTAACCCGTGGGGCTTTGACGCGCGCGTGCTCCCGCCGCTCGCGCCGGTGCTCGCGAATATGCCCGCCCTGAGGAAACTCATGGTCGCGGAGTTCAGCACGTTCGCGTTTACGGACGAGTCGCTGCTGTGTCTGCCGCCGGGGCTGACGCACCTGCGCCTCTCGCACCTCGCGGGGGTGACCGACAACGGCCTGACCGCCTGCCCCCTCCCACCAAGCCTCATCTCCCTATCACTGACTGAACTCCCCCTCACAAGCTTGCACACGGTCGCCGCACTCCTCGCGAGCCTCCCGCACCTCCGCCGCTTCTCGCTAAACCAGGCCGCACTACCGCACTCCTCCCCCAGCCCCACCCCCCCATGTTCCTCCCGCAGCCCCTCCCCCCACTCCTCGCCCACAAGCAAACCCTTAGTCCTAGCATCAGACTCACTCCAGCACGTCCACTGGACTGTCCCAACACTACACCCGAACCACGAGTCAGCAACGGAAGTGCTGGCGCGGAGCATCCGCGCCGGAGGGTTCCCCGCGCTGAGGTGGCTACACGCTCCGTGCGATGATGGTAGCCTCAGGGCGGCCTGTGCGGCGGCGGCGGTGGAGGATGTGCATGTGGATTGGATGGGGTGGAGGGGGAGTAGGGGGCTTTGGTGCGGGGGCGGGGTGGGTAGGGGCGAGGGCGGAAGAGCGGAAGGGGAAGGGGAAGGGTGGGTCGGCGGGAGGGTTAGGTTCGTTAAGGGTGGGGAGGGGGCGGTGGGCGTGGAGGATGTGTTGAGGGGTGCGGGGGGAGAGGCGGAGGCGGAGGTGTGTGATGGCGACGGTAGGGAGCGGGGAAGGGAGCGGGGAAGGGAACGGGGACCTGGGAGGGGAAGGGGACATGTTAGGATGAGGGGTGGGAGGGGGGGCGGGCTGGAGGCACTGTTTACTTAAAAGTCGTTGGTTCATTAGAGAGAGTGTGTGAGTGAGCGGGCGTGAATAGTACTTGGCTGGTCCCATTGCTACTTGGGTGCGGCTATTGTACGTGGGAGTTACGTTGGAGTATAAGCGTGCGTGCAGAGCAAGCCGTAACTATACCGTGTGTGGCGTCGCAGCAAGGAGGCCAGCAAGCCGGGCCACGGAAAAATATCCAGAAAGCTTGCCCATCACCAGCACCGGCCGGGAATTAATAATTAGCCAGTGATAACTAGTGATCACCGCACGAGCACTTCGCAGATCCCAGATCCAGCGTGACCCAACGCGGCCCAGTCCAACCCAACTCGGCCCAACTCGGCCCAGCTCATCCTACTATAACCTAACCCATCCAACCTTACCCACCCACACTGAACAATAGAGTCCAAACAAACGTTACGCGCGCGCTTACTCGGCACCGGAGATTCGTATCATAGCGTCAGTTCAAAGCGTATCGTAGCGTAAGTTCATAGCGCAGCGTACCGAAGCGCATTCTATCGTGGCGAGGGTAGCGCAAGTTCATAGCGTAGCGCAGACAGCGTGGAGAGCGTGGAGGACAACCGACAACCGCCATAGCCCTAGTTACATCCGGGCGCCTTCTTCCACACATTCCAAGCCGCTTTACCCATTCCAAGCCGCTTCACACATTCCAAGCCGCTTCACCCCCGCCGCCTCTGCCACCACCGCCATCGACGCCACTGGATCACGTGGCGCGAGAGGATCACAGGAAGCTTTCTCCCCCCGGTGAGCTTGGAAATCTCCACCGAGTATCACTCACCACACTCACTCACTCGCAAATGAACCAAAAATTCTCCACAAGCAATCTCCATAATCTCCATATCATACTTCCGCACTCTCCCCGCACTCTCACTCTCCGCACATCCGCACTCTCCCCCCTCCCCTTCCGCAGTCTCTCACTCTCATCTTCACTCTCTCCACACCCCATATCACTCTCCACACTCACTCTCCCCCGCCATATCACTATCGTATACCAAGTTCCCACATTCATCTCTCGCCTTCTCTCCACTTCTCCGCTTCTCCTCGATTCTCCTCGATTCGATACATAAGAAAAAGTAGGTAGTAAAGTAGGTAATAAAGAAAAAAAACGCTGTTCAACAGAAAGAAAGAAAGAAAAAAGATGAAAAATACCAAAGAGATAGATAGAAAAAGATCCTGGTAAATATCCCCTTCTCCCCGTCGCCCCCCCCCCCCCCCCCCCCCGGTCACCTCCCGGTCACCTCCCTCCCTCCTTTCCTGCGGACAAAAAGCCAAAAGACAAAATGACAATACAAAAGAAACAAAAGAAACCCACCTCAATGCAGCAGTAGTATGTCGAGCCCCTTCTAGTTAATCCCAATACCATCGATACCAAATTTCATTCCGCTCGAAGCAAAGAACTCGAAGCAAAGAACTCGCAGCAAAGCACACAAAACAAAACAAAATAAACGCTCTCAAGTAAGTAATTTATTAGTCTACACAGGGGTGCTGGCCACGCGCACGCCATATCCCGCGGCTACATCGAAATCTAGCTCTTCGGTGGGCGTGAAGCTCTCCTTGGCGTCCTCGAAGCTGAGGATTTCGGTCGCGGGTGTAGCGGCGCCCGCTCGCAGCGGCGGACTTTCTTCCCACTCGTTTCTCGAGTGGCCGTTTCCCGAGTGGCCGTTTCCGTTTCCGTTGGTATGGTGTCCGTTCCCGTTCCCGTTTCCGTTCTCCATGCGTTTCCCCGATTCGTCCGCAAAGTTGTCCTTGCGTGCAGTGGCCGGTCTCGGGGTACCGGCCTCGTTTCTGTCGTGTTCGCTGACGGGTTCCAGCGGGACCGACGTCGCGCCGGAGCTGAGTCGTTCCCGCTCGTCGCAGAGGAGCGCCAAGTACTCCTCTGGTGGTATGATGACGCCGGAGGCTCGCGAGCTCCGGATTTCGATTCCGCCGCTGCCGCCACTGCCGCCGCCGCTGTCGCCACGCTCTAACTCTACGCCGCCTAGGCTGCTGACACTGTAGACTACGGGATTGGGCATCCTCTCCCCGTCACCAATGCTGGAGAAATCAGACTCGCTAGGCGCCGCTATGATAACTTGCGTGCCGGGCGAGAGAGGTTCGTCGTCGAATGGGGGGGCAACCACGTATCCGCTACCCTGATGGTTCAGCGACGGCAGGAAAACGGGGTTTGCACCATGATGCGAAGCCGAATTCAACGATTCCAGGGCCTTGGTAAAGAAAGAAAAGTCAGCTAATCCGGTTCGACAGACTTTGAAGGAAAAATGGTTCTACCTCTCCATTGAGCACTGTGCGCTGCTTGCTCTTCTCCGAGCCCGCCACTTCGGGGAAATACCCATTCGCCTGGTTCCAGCTGGTGATACCGGGTAGCGGTCTCCCATCACGACGCGAAGACTCGACGATATGCGGCGCCTCATCGATCCTCTCAGGGAAGAGACCGATGATATCCTTTGCCGAAGGGCGTCCCTGCGGTTTGTCGCAGAGACACGCCTCAACGATCTCGCGGAAATACGTGGGGATATCCTCCGGAGCCTGATCCATGGTCAACGGGCGGGACATGGATTCCGGCTCGTCCATCTCGTGTGCCATTCCCCAGAGTACCATCCCGAGCTGAAACACGTCCGACTTGACGCCGATGTACATTCCGATGCGTTGCAAGCCTTCGATCATGGCCGTGATCTCGGGGGGCTCCCAGCCCACGGGACAGCCTCTTCGGTTGATGTCGATGATCTTCGCGTTATCGTGCTCGTCGATTACGATGTTCGATAGCGTAAAGTCGCCCTGCACGTATCCGGCCTCGTGGATCTCCGACAGACCGGAAACGATCTGCTTCGCCCACTTCTCGCGTCGCGCCCAGGGGAGCTTTCCACGCTGGTGGAACAGGATATCGATTAGCGCACCTTGCGATGCAAAGCTGATGAGCAGCCCCTTCACCTTCTGCCGTGCGTCGTCCACCACGCACCCACCGAACTGGATAACGTTGTCCGAGTCCGCAAGCGCGTAGAGCGCATTGATCTCGTAGAGGAACTCATCCACCGTATCCGGGCCGGGGATCTCCTTCTTGATCATGATGTCGCCCCCGACTCCAACCTTGTAGACGAAGCCGGAAAGGTGCGAATCGAATTCCAATTCGGATTCCCGGTACTTGGGACACCGCAGATGCGCGATCGCATTCATCGGCGGGTACGGAATGATCTCGTTGACATCCTCGGTCACGTGAACGTGTAACCGTCCCTCGCTCGTCTGCAGCTTCAGATTCGTGATGGTGTCGTAGAACATGATATCTTGCAGCGATTCCCGGATCGACTCGTAGATCTTGGCGCTCTTGTCGCGCTGAAACCTCAGGCTCGACAGATCCTTCTCCAGTGTCCCCTCCTCCGCGTTCCGGTAATCGCACGAGATCGTGAGACGACGTCGGATGTTCCTTTCCTGCGCGTACGTGACGAAGAACTTTTCCCGGTTCGATTCGTCGCGGAAATGCATGCTGAGATTGAGAATCCAGCGCCATTCCATCTCCTCCTCGACCTCCTTGCTCACCAACGGCGATTCCTTATCCTCCTTCGGAGCCCAACTGTCCGAATCCGTATCGCTCAGTCCCTCCTCCGAGGCCGAGATGATCTGCGGCTCCGATTCCCGGGGGTCGCTCAAAGGAGCAATCTTGGGCGAAACCGCCGATTCCCCCCCACCGGGCAGCGCCGGCGTAGTGTCCTCCGCTTTCACCTTGCTGTCCAGCTCCAGCGCTTTAGCCTCCTCCGGCTGCACCTCCTTCTTCGACTCCTTCTCCTTGTCCACGAGCACCAGCTCCTCGTCATCATCATCGTCATCCTCCACATCCAACATGCTCCGGATGGGCTCGCTCTTCCGTCTGGTGCCTTCCTCCTCGTTCTGCTCGCCAAGCGACGCTATCGACTGCGACTGTATGGGCTGCAGACTCCTCGACGATGTCCGTCCGCTCTTATTCGTCGCCGGTGGCCCGGTCCTCGCGCGCCGCTCGTGATTGGGCGGTTCGTACGGCTTCAATCGCTCTCGCTTCTCGCTCTGGATGCGCTGCAGTGTCGGCTTCCTTGGGAGCCCCGGTACCACATCGCGCCGTCCGCCTCGTTTCGGATTTCCCGCCGCCGCCGTTGTCGTCGCAGCATCGGCAGGTTGCGCAGTTTCCGCAGTCGTCGTGGGCTCGGCGGTTGGCGCTATCGCCGGTGGTGTTGGTTGGGGAGCGGGTGCTGTAGCAGCGCTCTTGTCCCGATGGTATAGGTTGAACTTCTTGCGCAGGCGGGAGACGAGGCCTTTCCGCTTCGTTGTGGTCGCCGCTGCACCATTAGTCGTTCCATCAGTTGCGGCAGAAGTTTCCTGCTGCGGTTTTGAGTGCGCCATCCCCATGCAGAGGTTCATCAAACACTGCTGTCGTCGTTGTCGTCGGGTGAGGGTTGGGGATTGCCGCTATCGTGCTCGCATGCAACGACGGACAGCAGTGGGAATGTCGGGATTGTTGTTTCACAGAAGACGAAAATTTGGTTTTGATTTCGGTTTTGGGTTTTGATTTCTGGTCGGCGAGGGAGGGGGAAGCAACCCTGAAGATCAACGGGCTGCAGCTGGTTGAATGGGCCGAGTGTTCAGGCGCACAACCAATGCGAGTTGGTCGCAATGGATGTTACTTTCGTTTCCTCCCGTTCGGTGCTTTGGGATTGGGTGTAGATTTTGTGTCTCTGGCGCAGCGGAGGGGGAGGAGGAGAAGGAGGACGAGGAGGAGGAGGATTCGCGGTGGTTGGTCTGATTCGGGGAAAGCAAGTGGAGGAGGTGTTGTGGTACGATGAGGTGTATGGGTTGCTGCTGAGCTGTTTGTTTTATGAATTGGCCAGCCAGCGAGACCAAGATGGGTACTTAGATCCCCAAATGTTTTGCCGGGGGACCACACTTATCAAGCAAGCAAGCAGGCAGGTAAGCAAGCAAGTAAGCAAGCAAGATCTGAGTGAGTTCGTGGAGTCCGTGTGTGTTTGTGTGTGTGTGTTTTCTCTTTCCTGCTATCCTCGGTCTGCAATGTTTCGTTTCGGCAGAGGCCGGGGAGAGTGAGTAAGTGCTTTGTTTGAGCTTGAACAACACAGATTAAACGTGAGATTGGGTGGGATGGTATGAGGAAGGCAGGTAAGGTAATGTAAGTGAGGAGAGGGAGTGTGTGTGTGTGAGAGTGTGGTGTGAGAGCGTGAGAGAGAATGTGTGTGTGTGTGTGTGTGTGTGTGTGTGTGTGTGAGCGTGAGAGTGTGTGTGGTATGTATGATGTGTTCACGGGAAATATTTCTTTACTTCGCCGCAGCAACAGCAAGCAAGCAAGCAACACCGGCAGAATGTGCTGCTTGGGTTGTATGCTTTGGAAATTTTAGGTGTGCTTTGCTTTTTATGGGAGATGGGCCAGGGTATGGGGTATTGGGGGGGGGGGGGGGGTGGTGGTTGTTGTTTTCTCTCGTCTTCCCCCGGCAGCTTTCTTGTCTATCAGGGATTGTGAAAGCGGTGATGGTGGGTGCTGGTGGTGCTGGTGCTGGTGCCGGCGCTGGGGGTAGCTCCCTTCTAGGAGGGGGGTGGGAGGAGGAGCTGGACGGGGAGGAAAAACTCAGGACGAGGAGGACGAGAAGGAGGAGGATGTGGAGGAGGAGGACGGGGGAGGGAGGGATTGTGAGTTAATCGCGCGCTTGACAAGGAACTGAATATATGCGGGTGATTACGCTACGGATGGGCTATGATGAAATACGGATCGGTGGGCTCGCTCTCGGACGTGAGACGTACCAGCAGAAGGGGGTATAGCACCTCGTGGCAGCAGCAGCTACGATGGTAGTCAGAGCAGTCGTATGTAGGCAGTAGTCAGTTGGCGTAGTGTCGAGACGGCAGTCGGTGGTGTCGGTTAGAAGGAGAAGACGAAGAGAAGAGCAAGACGATGAGGACTCTGCAGCGAATTCGACGAGATGAGGGCGGTCGAGATGAGAGGGACCAGAGACGCGCGAACTCGGACGGCAAGAAAGGAGACGACGGATGTAGCAGATAGAGCGGCGCGGGGCAGCAGTGAGGAATTTAGTTTATAGGGTAGTAGGGGTTGGGTCGGGGGAGCTTAGGCAGGGCCGGAAGACGGTCTGTATGATGATACTTCTGGTCGAGAGCGATCGGAGAACAACAGCAACTGGTCGGCCAGCGAACACACGTATGAGGTAAGTATTTGAGATTGAGCGAAGTGGGAGGGCGCGAGAGAGCGTGAGAGAGTGACAGCTGGCAAACAACCAAGAATCCCCTAGCAGATGGAGGTGGTGATGATGATGACGAAGCGATGGAGGGTGGGGAGACGGGGAGAAAAAGAAAAACAACACAGCAACAACACGCAACTAAGTAAATAGTTGCTCGAGTAGGTAAGCACCTATCTACTGGCAGTGATGATAACAATCACGACCGGAGACCGAAAGAACGACAGAAGGTGGAATTAAAAGACGAAGGAGGAGGAGGAGGAGGAGGAGGAGGAGGAGGATAAACGGAGGAAGGAGAACAGAGGGCAGGAAGATCAGAAGAGCAGACCGTTTGCGAGAGGAATTGGACGAATATAATAGGCGTCAAAGATATAATGGCGTATATGGTGACATCGGACTCTTAAACAAACGTTCCATTGTACGGGGGCTCTGAGCAAGGATGGGGGACGAACAAACGGTGGGTCAGAGGAAGCCTGGGGGGATCACCATAATCATCATCATCATCATCGCCAGCAGTAAGTACCGTACTTTTAGTGATACTCCAGTGTCTAGAGTGCCGTATCAGCACAGCAGCAGCACAGCAGCAGGCAGAAAACCCCACGTCTACGACTGGACGGGCGCGGATGGGAGGGCAAGGCGAGGGGGAGGGGAGGGAGGGACGAGTCTCGTCTCATTGCAGGAGAGTCAGCGGCGGCAGAAGCGATCAGGGATCCTCAGCAGCAGCAGCAGTAGCAGCGGCCGCCGATCAATCCATCAATCCGTCAATCAGATGGGCGGGCGAGGAAATAAGTTAATCAAACGAGCCGATTGTTGGAGGGAGGGCTCCGGAGGCACCTGCACCCAGTTAAGAGCCACGGGGCAGACCGAGCTCCCTTCCTGGGAATTGATAAGTGAGCGAGCGAGCGGCGGCGGCGGCGGCGGTGGCGGCGGTGGCGGCGGCGGTAGTGGTGATGGAATCGGGGGCTCAGCACTTATCTAATGTCGAGTATGGGACTACACGACGCGGGCCTGGTGCAGACCGGCGGGCGGGCAGGCAGGCAGGCACGCAGGCAGGAAGGGAGGAAGGAAGAAGGAGCTGACGATAAAGTGTTCTGTGCGGCCACACGACAGAAGCGGCATCTCGTACTTTACGGCCAAGTGGAAGCAGGCATCAGTGGGAGTGCATCCATCGTATGCAGATGACCAGAGAAAAAAGCCAGGCTTGGTGGGAGCGGACGGCACAGCTAGTATGTAGCAAGGCCAGACCAGTGGAGAGTGGATGGATGGTATGGCAAGGCGACGATGCTGATTGAGCGATGCTGAATCGCTGATTGAGCTATGGTGATTGAGCGATGCTGATTGAGCGATGCTGATTGAGCGATGCTGATTGAGCGATGCTGATTGAGCGATGCTGATTGAGCGATGCTGATTGAGCGATGCTGATTGAGCGAATGCAGAGCACACGAGGCACACCGATACCTCCAATCGCACTCGCGAGAGAAATGGAAAAAGAAAAGAAAGAAAGAAAAAGAAAAAGAAAAAGAAAAGAAAAGGTGGGAAAAACATGGCCTACTGCGGTGGGGCTGAAAGCACAGTTGAGATCCACGAATGGCCTCGAAATCGGTCTCTCTCTCGCTTTCTCTGTCCTGTCCTCTCCGCTCCTCGCTCCTCGCTCCTCGCTCCTCTCACCTCTCTCCGTTCTCCGCTCTCCGCTCGCTCCTATGCCTACCATACTTTACCCCACTTCACTTTCGGGCTGCATGCGCAGTAGTATGTAGCAGCAGAAGCAGAAGCAGCATGAGCAGCAGCATGAGCAGCATGTACTCGGCCAGCCTAGGTACAAAGCATCGTCAAGCCTCCCAATCCCCTCCTCCCCCTCAATCCCCTCCTCCCCCTCAATCCCCATTCTCTCCACCCTCTCCACCCTCTGTTCCCGGCCTGCTCTTATGCCAGCGTGGTTGGCCCTCTCGAGTCGCCACCGCCAGCCAGACAGACCATCAATCGGCTCCCTCCCAGGTAAGGTAGAGTGAGGTCGGCACGTGAAGGCCCACATTCCCACAGCCCCGCCCCGCCCCGGTGCCCCCCCCCCCCCCCCCCCCCCCCCCCCCCCCCCCAGCGTGAACTGAACGAACACTCGTGGGCCGTCAGTCAGTCTCACCTGTCGTTATCGTTGCTGTCTTTTCCGTTGTTGCTGTTGTTGTAACACCTTACGGCGACACCTGCATCATCAAGCGAAACAACACATCGATTCGACTCTATGTACTCGACAGGCATGGCATGGCATGGCCTGGGAGGCAGAACAAGCTACCGCGCCCACCCCACCCAACCCACCCACGCACCCGCGCTTTGGATCTTCGGGGCTAAGGACCGGTAGGTAGACGAAACAAAGGTGCGATGTGCACGGTATGTGCAGTATGTGCCAACCGGATGATCGACCACATACAGTACACACACCACACACACACCTGTTACAGTTACACCTCAGCAGCAGCGTACTGCGCAGTGCAGGCAGACGAGAAACAAATCTGCGGGGGCCAGGAAGATGTGGGGGGAGGAGTAGCTGTGAGGGGGGGCGGCAGCGCACGTTGTCTTTAGTACTGTCTATTTACTGGTTATAGTTGGCACTCTAGAGTGGAGCAGAGTACTTGAGCTTGAGGTGGAGGACCACATCACAGCCATCCATCCGCCAAGACCCGGATTCGTAGGGTTGAAGTACCGTCGATACATGTACCGTACTGTACCGTACATAAGCAGATATGATAGGTAAAGTACTCTACGTGTGCAGCAGCAGCAGCGGATGACAGCCAGTCTTGCCCGTGCCCGTGCGCTCGGTGGGGCTCATGCTCAGGCTCAGGCTCAGGCTCAGGCTCAGGCTCAGGCTCAGGCTCCGACTCGAAAGAATGCGGCTTATTTCCGGAAGCGGGGGTGTCGCTGCTCGCAGAACGGACACTGGACATTGGACAACAGAAACCCAGGGAGCTCTCAGAGAGGGATATCGGAGCCGCACGGAATAGAATGGACATAGATAGAGCGATAAGGCTGGCTGACATGTGCACTCGCACTCGCACTCACTCGCGAGCCTTCTCCCTCTTCGCCCCCGCAAGCCTACTCGAGCCCGAGCTCGAGCTCGGACGAGACGAGACGACCCGAGACGTCAACCCGAAAGCCTCGCTCGTGCACGCTCGCTCGCCGCGCTCGAGCTCGGTGATCTTCCACCGTGCGCGCGCCCCGGATCCCGGTTATATCTTTGTCTACTCTACGCTCGAGAGATAGAATCTAGATAGAGATAAGATCTAACCATCATCTGGGATCTTCAGGATCTAGAATCTAGATAGAAGCTAGATAGATCCATCCGGAACTAGATACCTATACCGTATAGCAGGATGACTAGTGCTTTACTATGGTACGGTAGTGGTATAGACGGTAGTGGTATAGACGG